TATTTGTATATTTTTTTGCACAAATGTCAGTATAATAGTATTATAAGACACTAATATAAGTATTTTTTTCATTTTTCTACTACATTTTCATATGATAATTAATATTCAAAGATCAACACATAAAAAGTAAATGAGATAGAGTGGAACGGAGGTCATACTATTTTTGTATTATATTAGTGTATATCTTGTTTCTTGATGTATACCAGGCTATTCTAAATTTATATCATCATATTTGACTGTCTTTTCAAACGATGTCCCTTTAATATTAATTTTGTAAAATATATTCCTAATTTTTACTGATCAGTGTCAAATATAGTCTAATTATGAATTAAAGAATAATTAGTTAATACTTATAAGTTTCTATCTCCCCTGTTTCATTAATATTATTCTCTTTTTTCTATTTTCTTATTATATATTTATTAAGTTTATATTATTATTATTATTTATTTATTTATTTACATTAATTTATATTGATAGTATATAATATATTTTTTGTATTATATAAATATATTTTTTACAAATAATATATATTATTTATAATTTTATAAAAATATAATTTTTACAATAATTTAATACATTTATTTCATTTGGATAATTTAATTTAATTTATATTACATCACACAATTATTTAAATTAAAAATTTTACTATTTAAATCAAAACCAAAACCAAAAACCCTAACTAAACACAATTTTTTTTTTCTTTTTCTAATATATTAAATATAATATTTTTTATATCATCAATTAATATTAGTTATTATAATCATTATAATTTCAAATTTTATTTCAAGTTTCCATTTAAAATTTTTAAATATAAAAAATTCTTTGCATTTCAAATATATTTCTAACCGCGACTAAACATATTTAATATTTGAATTTTTGGTTGTGTTTTAGGGAAATTATGATAATTATAATTACCAATATTTAATTGATTATGTAAAAAAAATATATTTAATATATTTGATAAAAAAAAAATGTGTGTTTGTTTGGAGTTTTAGTTTTCAATTTTTATTTTAAATAAGAATTGATGTGATATATTAAATATAAAATTAAATTTTATTTTAATATAAGATAAAAAATAGGTGTGATCTTATATTTTTTTTGGGAAAATTTTTTTTATGAATAGTAAAAATTAAATAAAATCACTCAAATAAAATTTATATATTTAAGTGTTTTAAAATTTCTTTTTTTTAAAAAATATAATTAATATATATTTTCGTTAAATAATATCTTTATAAAATATAAAAAATATATTACTATATACTATTACTAAATTAATGCAAAACAATAATAATAATAATATAAATCTAATAAATATATAATACAAGAGAGAAAAAAAAAAGAGAAATATTAATGAAGAGGGAGGAGAGAGAAACTCATAAGTGTTAACTAATTACCCTCTAATTGATAATTAGATTATATTTGTTGGTGATTAGTAAAAACTAGGGATATTATTTTACAAAATTAATATTAAAGAGACATAATTTTAAAAGACGGTCAAATATGAGGACATAAATTGTCAATACCCCTATTTATACCCAAGGACTACTACTATGTTTTATGGATGTGTTAACTTTTAAGGATAAACTTGTAATACATAAATTATTTCAATACATATTAGTATTACTGTATATCTACTGTTAATTATACAATGTTCGAATACAGAGTAATTACAGTGCTAATTTAAGAATCCGATCATCACAAATAACATATACCAATAGCATACACTTTTATTTCAAATATCACATATTGTGCTATTATTTATACTTGTAATTAGGGTGTCAAAAGTAAACCTGACTCGAAAAACCGGACCTGTTCAACTTGAAAATTTTCAGATTCGGGTTTGGGTATTTCGGGTTTGAAAAAATCGGATCGACTTGAACCCGAAACAAGAAAAATTAGTGTTGTGTTCGGGTCGTGTTTGACCTGATAACCTGAAATATATAAATCAGGTTAGGTTTTGGTTTCGTATTTCGGGTTGGCCTTAATTTTTTTTTTATTATTTTATTTTATAATATTTATATTATTTTAAATATAAAATAATATAAAAATTTAAAAAAATGATATTTTTTAGGTTAATTTAATTTTTTTAAAGTTTTCGGGTCTATTTCGTGTCGTGTTTGTATCGGGTTTGTTCGAGTTTCGGGTGACCTGAAACTAATTCAGGTCAAACTGAACCCGACCTGAAAGAATTCGTGTCATGTTTGGGTCTTGAGTTTCAGGTCAGATTTCGGGTTCGGGTTGGGTTCGGGTTGACAGCTTTTTTATTATCCTCATAACTCAACCCGACACGAACACGACCGATTGACACCCCTACTTGTAATGTGTGGTGTACACAGTAAATTATATATGTGCTAACTGTTGCATATGAGATTATATCATATATTCATGCGTTGTATTTATATTACATTATGTGCTCTGGTAGGACGCAATATGCTGTCAATAAGGTGTTGATTCAGAAGGGTAATTGCCGCCCAGAATATATTGTAAATATAACATTAAATCGGATAAAATAATATTATTCATCCTCTATGTTAATATGATTAATGATAATCATCACGGTAACACTCCGCCCTATATATCATTGGCCCTGTAAATCTATCTCCATATTCACCCATATTTTCACCATCTCTCACAACTTAAAGCAAAGATCTAAAAGACTTCCATTATGGATTTTGATCTTTCATCTTTGCTAACTCCTCTTACCTTCTTCATATTTCTTGCAGCCTTCTTGAAGATTATCCTCCGGTCGAAAACTGACGAGAACTCGAGTCTTCCACCGGGGCCAAGAAAGTTGCCGTTGATCGGGAACTTGAGCCATCTCCTCAGTAGTTCCGGTTCAACCCATAAAGTATTGAGTGACTTGGCCGCCAAACATGGACCGGTGATGCACTTGCAGCTCGGCCAAGTTAGCATAGTTATTATCTCCTCGGCCGAGGCAGCGCAAGAAGTCCTGAAGACACACGACATCATTTTTGCGAATAGACCATGGCTTGTCAGCACATCGATTTTGTTCTACAAGCAAACGGATATTGCATTCTCCCCATACGGCGATCACTGGAGACAACTGCGAAAAATCTGCGCGATGGAGCTGCTAAGCACGAAACGAGTTCAATCATTCCAACCTTTAAGGGAAAAAGAAACTTCGAGTATGTGCAAATGGTTAGCTTCTAAAGAAGGGACATCAATCAATTTGACAGAAAAGATATACTCGGCGACATGTGATGTTCTCATGCAGGTGACATTCGGGAGAATGACGAAAGAGCTATCTGCCTACATTGCCCGAATCCAAGAATTTAATGACCTTGCCTCGGAATTTTCTTGGGAAGATTTTTATCCTTCGATCAGATTGTTTCGACTATTCAATACATTGAGAAGCAGGGCAAATAAGTTGCACAAAATTATCGATGGAATCCTTGAAAATATCATCAATGAGCACAAAGCAGCCAATCTTGAAAGCAAACGACAAGAAGATCTAGTCGACGTTCTCCTCAAGTACAATGGAGAAGGACACGAACACCATTTAACTATCGATAGTGTGAAAGCTGTGCTGCAGGCATGACATTAATTAAATTTTTCGAAACTTACATGTCTCTTCTTATGTTGTATTTCTCATCTTTTACACTAAGATTCTTATGAATGTAGGATATGATCAATGGAGGATTTGATTCATCTGCAGCAACTACCGATTGGGCCATGGCGGAGATGCTGAAACACCCGACTGTTCTTAAGAAGGCGCAAGATGAGGTGAGACGCGTATTCAACAATAAGGGACTTATCGACGAGTCTTCCTTTAATGAGCTAAAATACCTAAAGTTAGTCATTAAAGAGACTCTAAGGCTGCACCCTGCCGGGCCGTTGCTCCTTCCTCGACAGAGCTCCAAGCCGTGCGAAATCCACGGATACAAATTACCTTCGAACACGAGGGTCCTTGTGAATGCTTGGTCTATTGGAAGAAATCCGAAATACTGGAAAGAACCAGATCGTTTTGTTCCGGAGAGATTTCTCGATAATCAAGTCGATTACAAGGCGAACAACTTTGAATACATACCTTTCGGCGCCGGAAGAAGGATTTGCCCGGGAATGACATTCGGCCTCGCCAATGTGGAGCACCCGTTGGCGATGCTTCTCTATCACTTCGATTGGGTTTTGCCCGATGGAATGAAGCCTGAAAATTTGGACATGGCGGATGCATCAAGTCTTGTTGCAAGAAGGAAAAATCCATTGCACGTTATCCCCATAGTGAGGAATCCTTTGCCTGCAAAATAAGATGGATCTATGCTATATGTTCGAGTAATTCGAAGTTTTTGCTTAGGATAATGAATTTTTATTTTCATGGTTTTGTACTACTTTCTGTTTTCCATTTCATTTTTAGGTTGATTTTCGATTGTAATGTTGGAGTTCTTGCTATTGAGCAATTCGAATAATAAAATATTTTTAACAAAAATGAATATGAAGACACAAACAAACACACTGTGCGCACTCGATAAACTCCCGGTCAAACCTAATATCCTGCAAACTAGGATAATCTTTATAACTGGGCAGTTCATTCCAAAGCAGATGATCTTTTCTTATATTGAAAAAAGAACATAGCCAAAGTTGATATTTTCTTTCGAAATTCCTGTCAAAATATGCAATTACTTTTTTTTTCATCTAACAAGAAGTAGATCTAAACATGACATTTTAGTATTGGAATCATAGCAGATGTAATTCATTCCAAAGCACAAAAAAACCAATTCAGAATTGGAAACAATCAAACCACAACTCCATTGAAAAAGACCAAACTTAGACAGTAAGTTGGTAGACTCAAACAGGTTGTTTCAGGTCACTTGTCACACATGGTTCGCATAGTGTACTTGTCTTGTCGAGCCTAGTTTGCAGGGTATTAGGTTCGACCGAGGGTTTACCCAGTGCGCACTTTCGGTAACGGCTGCGGGTAAAAAAAAAAAAAAAAAAAAAGACCAAACTTAGAGACACGATCGACAAACAAATTTAAGCATGCATCAATTTCTTGTTGCAGGCAAAGGTTTCTTGACGATGGGAATTGCCAGCAATGGGCTGTTCCTTCTCGCCGTGATGCCGAAATGTTCGGTCATATCGACGTTTTCGGGCTTCATTCCGTTCGGCAAAACCCAATCGAAGTGATAGAGAAGCATCGCGAGCGGGAGTTCCACGGTTGCCAAGCCAAACGACATCCCGGGGCAGCTCCTCCTTCCGGCGCCGAACGGGAGGTATTCGAAGTTGTGCGCCTTGTAATCGACCGGATTTTCGAGAAATCTCTCGGGGATAAAGCTATCGCTGTTTTTCCAATACTTGCGATCTCTTCCGATCGACCAAGCATTCACCATCACCCTCGTGCCCGAAGGTATTTTATATCCGTGAACCTCACATGGCGCCGAGCTTTCTCTAGGAACGAGTAGCGGCAACGGCGGATACATCCTTAGAGTCTCTCTAATGACTAACTTCAAGTACTTTAGCTCCTTCATGCTTGACTCGTCGACATATCCCTTTTCGCCAAAAACTCGCCTTACTTCTTCTTGCGCCTTCTTAAGGACCTCGGGATATCTCAGAATCGCCGCCATAGCCCAGTCCGTAGTCATCGATGACGTATCAATTCCAGCCGTGAACATGTCCTGAAACAACAAGAATATAGGAAAAATCGATCAAAGATGAACACGAAGCAATCGTTGTTTCTAAAAGTGTTCGACAAAGGCATACCGCTAACACGGCTTTTATGTTCTCCGTGGTTAAATAGAGTTGGTGTCCGGCGGCATTGAACTTTAGGAGAACGTCGACAAAGTCTTCTTGTGGTTTACACTTATCGCTCGCGGCTTTGTGGTCATCGATGATTTTTTCGAGTATCCTATCCAACGTCTTGTGTAGTCTCTTCGCGCGGCTCCTCATCCCGTTGAATAGTTTTAAGACACTATTCGACGGATAGAAATCCGCCAAAGAGTGTCCCATTATGTTATTATTGATGTCCTTAACAAGCGACGCGAACATGGCTAGTTCCTCGGTCTTATAACTCCCGAGCGATGCTTGCACCACCACGTCGCACGTTGTCGAGCAAATCTTTTGCGTCAAGTCGACGGCGGAACCTTGCTTGGAAGCTATCCACTTGCACATATTGAAAAATTCTTCTTGCCTCAAAGGTTTGAAAGAGTCGACACGGCGCGCACTCAATAGCTCTATCGTGCAAATTTTTCGCAACTGTCTCCAGTATTCACCGTACGGGGAAAATGCAATGTCCGAATTTTCGTAAAACAAAATATCGGTGTTACCAAGCCACGGCCTATTCGCGAAGACCACGTCGTGTGTTTTCATTACTTCCTTCGCCGCCTCCGGCGACGAAATCACCACCGCGCTAACTTCGCCGAGCTGCAAGTGCATCACCGGGCCATATTTTGCCGCCAATTCGGTCATCGTATGGTGGGGCAGCTGAGAGCTGCGGAAGAGATGGTGCAGGTTTCCGATCAGCGGCAACTTCCTCGGCCCCGGCGGAAGATTCGCAGCTGCAGCCGCAGCCACCGCTGCCGCCGCCGTGTCTGTGTCCGGACCGGGCCGAGAGATAGTTCTAAGAAACATTGCAAGAAATAAAAAAAAGGAAAGAAGAGTTGCAAAATATGAGAAATCGATATCCATAATGGCTTTTCTTTGCTCTGGTCGATCTTTGCTTAGATCTTCTAGTGTGAGTCGATCGATACCTATCTTAGCTATATCTATATATAAAATGTGTTCGATGAAACTACGTAGGAAAAATCATGGAGCAATCCTTTTCTTTTTTTTTTTTTTTTTTTTTTTTTTTTATTAAGACGAGGTAATCATTACAAATTTTTTAATGACTATCACTATCATTGTTGGATGGTCATGGCCACATGTCTAAAACCTTAAAAATATTTGTCGTTTCGTGGTTTCAAATTTTAATTATACTTTATTATGTAAGATTTAAAAATATTTATTTAATAAAAGTAATCCTTTTAAATTTTATAAAAATATTTATTTAATTTATATTTTTAAATACAAAATTGTGGAAACAAATTTTATTCACTTTTATTAACTAATAAAATGTTATTATTTTTTAATTACTTAATAAAAATAAATGAGTATATTGGAGCAGGATTTAAGGAGTATAACTTTGAAAATATTTTTAATGTGTATTGGGATCTATGATTATTGAAAAGAAAATTTGATATTTAATTTTTGAATGACAAAATGAATACCTTTTGGAGGTGCAGTGGGAGTATTTCATTTCAAACAAAATATTATATTTATATTTAACTAATATATTATACACCTAATTCATTTTTAATTTAAAATATCAAATTCGTAACTTATTTATATCTCATTAAAAAAAATTTAATTCAGAGTTTGTACTATTCTTAAAAATACAAAAATAATAAAATAAACTATACAGCCAAACAAATTAAGCTATGAGATTTCTACACGTCAGTGTCTTAGTTTACTTAAGTGGCTGAGTTCATGTCACTGTGGAGTGTGCAGAAATCGGCATCACAACCTAAATTAAATATTTGGAACAGAACAGAACAGAACGTTGACATTTCAAAATTATGGATCAGATCCATTTGTAATATATTTATATATTTTTTACTGTCTTTTTAAGCAGAAACAACGTGATTCCCATCGAACATATTGCATGTTCTTCAATTTTATATACAAGAATAAAATTTGAAAAAAAAATATATATATATATATATATAAAATAATCTATGTCCATCCATGTATTGGTGGCCCTATTGTTGTGTGTTGGAAATAATTGGGGTTTGTTCAAATCTTTGGGATGCCGGGCCGGGACTAAACCTCGAGACCTAAGACTCTGATACTATGTAAGCTGATCGGAATGACCGTCTCACTATCGGAATAATTGTCTCACCTAAAAGTTTAAATTATTAAAAATGCTTACCTTAATTTATCTAGATACTAGAGTCAACCGATAATAGAAATTCACATTTGTTGTTGGATCAAATTCAACCGATAATATGTTAACTGTATTTGAGAAATTCATGAAAAGTGATAACAGAAACAAGAAATACTTGCAATTAATGAAACCAGAATAAATAAAAATGCAATAAGAGAACTGAACAACATGCAAGTTTTGTTCACCCAATTTTGTCCTCAAACTTGACTCTTATCTGGATGGTTTAGATGCACAGTAGAGACAATCGCACAAGAAACTAACATTCGATTAAGGGTCATTTTTATTTTTATTTTTTATCCGGAAAAACTACTTTTCATGCTTCTTTTTTTTTTTTTTTTTTTTTTAGAAATTTATAGAATAAGAAACCATAAAGCCTAATATAAGTCCGAATAAGAGTAATAATTCCACATGTTCTAACTTGTTATCAAGGAATGTGAAGTCCTAGAAGGATTCTCACCCCTTTCAAATTCATCTTTGCAGTAGATGATCGAACTAATTAATTGCTAGAAAAACTCCGACTCACTTATTGAATACTTGAATAGGTATAAATAAGATTAGGACCTTATTGGATGATATCATTTTTACTAAGTCTAAAATTAATGTTGTTGACGACAAAGTGGCCGAATTCGTGTGGGTCTTTAATGGTGACTTATTTTCTCTTTTGGTATATGGACAAACCACTCCCTCCCGTAGCTCTTATTGTCAGAAACCAAAAACAGCAAGACTCTTACTCTGGTCTCTCTCCATCTCCATGGTTTGATCCTGTGTTTTACATAAAAACTCACCGGAAAAATTACCGGAGGACGGAGTTATCAGAGGTCCAACCAGAGGAGACGATCAGTTCTGAGTTGCCTTACTATGTGGTTGTTGTCGGTATGAATTTGTGACAATCAAAGCTTATGGAGGGATTCCAAAGTTAGCCACTGTAGAAGAAATATGTTGAAATGAGTTTGTGGTTTTGTTATGTAGTTAGCATTGATTATAGTTGAACTATTCCTGGATTGAGATCCCTAGATGTATGTTTATTTATAACTGAACTGGGTTACCAAATATATGTCTAATTTATTGTTATGTTGTTCCGGTATTTATTTTGTTGACAGTCTATTTTATTACTGTGAATTAACCTCGCTTTGAGGAGTTGGTCCCTTTCTTGGTGTTCGAAGGAGATCTGATCGAGCCCTATTTTGTTTTTGTAGAGACTGATTAGTAATGTTCAAATACATTTGAAGTTAATTTGTTTCATACTAAATGATTCATTATATAGTATTTAGTATTCAGTTATTTTGAATTAAAGTTAAAGTGGACATGTTAATATCACATTACATAAAATTTTCATATTGTGCATCCACGATTGATTGAATTTAAGTTATATTAATGTTGTGACCACTTATCGGTCTAATTGCAATACATACATTAATGACCACTTTGACCCGACATCAATGTGATTGACCGATAAGATTGATAAAATGCATTAAAAGATCTGATATCAAAATTTTCATGAGCTCATAATTATACAATATATTTACCAAAGTGGGATCTAAATCTTATTTGCAATCTGAATCCTATTATACTAATAATGGAATTTTGTTTGATTTATTAATTTTATTTTCTTATCTCAATTACTTGAACATGATCTTATACAAAGTTTTAATTATGATAATCATTGAATGCAAGAACTAATGTCTAGAAAAGAAAACAAGAATACTAATTCCATTATTGAAAGCAATAATACACTAAGATTTTTTTTTTTTTTTTTTGTTTTCTTGGTACGAATATGGTTAAGTTGTACCCTAAAAAGTTGCACAAGACGGAACTTCAATTTTCAGGCAGAGGATTCATAAGTTTTGGAATGACATGGAGTGGATCTCTCCTTCTTGCTGTAATGCCTAAGGTTTCTCCCATGGCCACATCTTCAGGTTTCATTCCATCAGGCAACAGCCAGTCGAAGTGACAGAGAAACATCGCCAGCGGGAGCTCGACATTCGTGAGACCAAACGACATTCCCGGGCAAATCCTTCTTCCGGCGCCAAAGGGGAGGTATTCGAAATTGTTTCCCTTGAAATCAATTGGATTCTCAAGATATCGCTCCGGAAAAAAGCTCTCCGCTTCTTTCCAGTATTTTGGATCTCTTGCAATGGACCAAACGTTCACCATGACCCTTGTCTTTGCCGGTATATTATACCCGTTGATAACACATGGCTCCGAGTTTTCTCTAGGAACAAGTAATGGCACCGGAGTATGTAGCCGGAGAGTCTCTTTGATGACGAGCTTTAGGTACTTTAGCTCGTCAAAGTCGGCCTCTTCGACATGCCCCTTGTCCTTGAAGACCATTCGCATCTCTTCTTGTGCCTTCTTAAGGACTTTCGGATGTTTTAGCATCTCCGCCATAGCCCAATTTATAGTTGTCGCAGAGGTTTCGATCCCAGCAGTGAACACATCCTGTATTCGAAAGAGTCACAGCATTTAAAACTACATCGATCTCATAACGATAACAGGATTTATAAAAAAAAAAAAAAAGTTCGATGACAAACCCGAAGGACAGATTTTATGTTCTCTGTAGTTAAGTGTGCTTCGTGTCCTTCTTCGTTGAACTTGAGGAGAATGTCGACAAAGTTCTCCCGTTGTTTCAATTCATCTTTTGCAGCTTTCGTGTTGTTGATAATGTCTTCAAGTATCTTGTCCGAATGTTTTTGCAGCCTCTCTGCCCTGCCTCTGATCCCGTTGAGTTTGCCGATCAAACTGATCGAAGGAAAGAAATCCCCCACGTTCATTCCTCCGATGAGTTCAACCGTTTCTTCGACTACGCCTGTGAATGCAGCTAGCGCGTCACTACTGTACCCGAGGGATGCCAGCATTACAATGTCGCACGAAGTTATGCTAACTTTCTCGATCAAATCGATCTGCGACCCTTCTTTAGAAGCTATCCATCGGCAGAGTTTCAAAAACTCTTCTTCCCTTAAAGTCTGGAACGATTGGACACGTTTGGCGCTCAGGAGTTCTAACGTACAGATTTTGCGCAGCTGTCGCCAGTATTTACCGTAAGGGGAGAACACAATGTCGGGGTATTCTTGTAAAATAAAATTTCCGGGGCGATGAGGCCCGGCCTATTGGCGAAGGTAATGTCATGTGTCTTCATGACTTCTTTCGCGGCATCGGGTGAGGATATAATAACTCTGCTCACTTCGCCGAGCTTCAGGTGCATCACCGGACCGTACTTCTTCGCCAAGTCGCTCAAAATCCGGTGAGGCAGCTGAGGGCTGAGGAGCTGGTGCAAGTTCCCAAACACCGGAATTTTTCTCGGCCCCGGCGGAAGATTCGACTCGCCGGAGGATTGCCTGGCTAGTTTGAAGATTTTTGCTAGCAAGATGATGAAAGAAAGAAGTGAAAGCGAAGATGTAATGTCGAGATCCATAATGGAGTCGATCGAACAGTAGAATTTCTCACAATTTTTGGGAAATTATTGCAATCATTAGCAATGATCGATGAGGGACAACGTTAATGATTTGAATGAATCCTTTTAACAACACAGGAGACAATAATTAAATGATTAATTGATAAGAGGTTCTGCAAGATCATATGGGATGGTAATGCTCGCACGGCCATGTGTGTCGATTGTTTGTTTCGATCTTTATTGACTTTCATGTCAGAAATCAGATCAAGATTCATAATTACTGACGAGAAACAATTACTATTAATATTATTATTATTATTATTATTATTATTTACTTTCAGTAATAAGAAGCAATATATGGTTGTCGTAACAACTACAATATACAAAATGGACAAAACAACAAAGAAAGTTGTGCACTTAGGTTTGGCTTGATTTAGGTTTACGACCTTCTGAGAAATTCCAATATAGTCATATTAACTATATAGTTATATATAGAATAATTCGACAACACATCAATCCAACCTCTAGCTCACTAATCTTCTTCTCTACGAACCCTCTAAATGCAATAACATATGCACTAGAAATTGTAGTTGGTCCCGTAGAACTATAACTATTTGATGGAAATAATTCTAATTGATCATCTAAATACTCTACTTTGTTGGACGGGACGGCAGATCCTGTACTGATCCGACCAAGTTAGAATAGTGCTGATTTGACCGGTCAACATATGTCATATATGTAATCGATATATGTTATATGTATTTCAACATATGTTGTATTATAAAATAACATATACTGAGTTATAATATATATCCGGATCATCAGCTGATTCATGCTTGTTGGACAAACATTCATTTTTTTTATGATTATTATTTTTTACCATAGTATTATTATTATTTTTTTAACGGGTCCTATAATTTTTTAGGAGGGAGATATCATGATGTATAATAGCTTGTTATTTTTATTTTCACTGCTAGAAAAAAAAAAGGTAATAATCACAAAAAGATTGTCACAAATTTAAATTATGCGACAATTAAAAGTCACGAATAATAATTTGGTAACAATATTATATCATAACTTCTTAGTATGACTTTTTCATGTGTAATATTTGCGAAAAAAATTATAAATTTACTTTTCGTCACTATTAAAAATAGATCATAGGAAAAAATATGTGTATTATAATATTTCCATTCCTTGGTTTTCATTTTAATTAAATGCATAGTACATTTGATTGTTACAAATATTGGCACGTAAATTTTTATATAACTAGTTTAATTAGTTGTAGCACAAATAACATAAAGGAGTTAAATTCAATAAACAAATTACTTGATGACAATATATATATGGTTAAGTAATAGAAAAAATATAACTTTCATAAGGGCTGGTTAGGTTAGTGTGATAGGTAAGTTCGAACCCGATTTACACCTTCTTAGTATGAGCCATTAATTAAAGACGTAGTGTGGTTTGTATAGCTAGTGTGGTTCACCTAGATTGTCGTAAAAAAAACTGTAAGAATCATGATAATGCTATTAATTTTTGCGACAATATAGTGTCATCGGATTGTTGTAGCTTATTGTTGAAACATAATTCCCTCAATCTATTTTGGCGTATGGTCACTTCATCTTTCCGTTTCTGCCTCTCAGATTTTTATTTGTAGTGACAGGTCTTGCATAGCTGTTGCAACGGACTGTCAACAACATTGTTTGTCTTACCCTCTTTTGGTTGGTGAAGCAAACAAGACAAAAAGAAACTTTTTTGTTGTTGTTAACTCGGGAACATATTTTATACTGAGACACACAATACTATTTCTGTACCAAGGGGAATTAATTGCTTACTGCACTTGTATGTAGTGAGAGAAAGTGTGTTCAATCCTCTCAACTCAACTATTCTCTTCTCCATGTATTAAGTGAGTACTAGATACTTATATTTGCCGGAGATCTCGTTGGAGGAATGAGAAATCGGAGTTCACTTCTCTTTGTTGGCAGTAGGGTATTATAACTGTGATATGACTATTTGAAACCATGTCAGATATGCAGAATGATCGTCTCATCTAAAAGCTCAAACTTGTAGAAAAATGTATCATTAATTTATTTATCCTCAATCAATAGTTTAGGGTTTATTGAATAAATATTGAAATATATATATTGATCCTGTAAAGTAACCATACATAAATACATATAATGAAGTGCACAAGAAGAAAACGAAAAAGAAAGCAATTTTTTTTTTTTAAATTCTACAAGTGGGATAACTAAAGTACAATTAATCTATATTGATAATGTAAAATAACACACAAATATATATATATATATGATAATGACGAACTAAGTATATGAAATTAAGTGACTAATGATATGTTCACGTGAATCATGATGTTTATTGGTATTGGTATTATGTGACAATCATACCCTAATGAGTGATGGGAGTATGGACACAAGGCTCCTACTTAACAATTAAACAACAAACGTTTGTTTATTAGAGGGCTAAATTTTAATTGTCTTTTCGTAGCATTTCTGTCTTCTTTTCATAGCATCTCAATCCCTGCAAAATATAGTTACCAACCCTAATTTTGTTTGTCAGAACGATCTAATTTATTCCGGTGCTACTTAAGCCAAAACATAAATTGTGCGTCACCACGGAAGATTGTTGTAACGGATTAGGATTAATGATCAAATAACAAACGTTAGAAAATGTAAAGACAATACAGATTTACGTGGTTCACCAACAACGTGTTGACTATATCCACCGAAAGAAACGAAGAACATATTTATTCTCGATAGCAAGGTTACAAATTACAGATTTCGAATACCTCGGACAGGCAAGGCATATCAACAAAGACACTATTGGGATGTAATTTATCTTAGAGGCAGAGGGCACTACAAGAAAAAATTATTTTTGTAACAAAATTTTTTTGTCTCTAAATCTATTTTTTCCGTTATTAATGACAATAGAGACGGAATTAATAATGAAATTACGTTAGCTACGTGAACTTTAGTGACGGGAATTCCGTTACAAATATATTATTTTTTTTGTAGTGGCATTAACGTGAATTTATTCCTAATTATACAGTCTCTTGCAACATATATATCCCCTCCCTACAACCATCATTTCCCTATTTTCTCGATAACATTCTTCATTCCATAATAGCATTATTTATGTTTGTTTCTTATTAATCATTACTACATTAATTTCACCGTTATTGAAAATATACATTATGCTTTTCAAATGACTGCAGTTACGATGCTGAATTTTAAAATTTAACTATGCTAATATACAAAACACGATATTACTACAAACATCAGATCGTTTATATTAATATAACACAAATATATTACATAAACTAACCACATATGTAACAATTGATTTTACCCCATGCCATGTGTGCTGTTTGTATATTTTATGTTTGCTGATTCGAGAAAACGAAATGTATGTTTTTTATATATTTTATATATGCTATTTGGAAATCAAATCGACAATGTAAGCATTCTCTTTTCAAATTAGGGCTGACCTAAGGCAGGGCGGATTCCGGGGCATGCAAAATCCGTAAACCTGTTTCCATCCCTAGCACCAGAAAGAGAACTTTATTTTACAGGCAAAGGATTTATAACTGTTGGAATGACATGGAGTGGATCTTTCCTTCTTGATGTAATCCCAAAGGTTTCCTCCATGGCCAGATCTTCAGGTTTCATTCCATCAGGCAGCACCCAATCGAAGTGATAGAGAAACATCGCCAATGGGAGCTCGACGTTTGCGAGCCCAAAAGACATTCCCGGGCAAATCCTTCTTCCGGCACCAAAGGGGAGGTATTCGAAATTGTTTCCCTTAAAATCAACTGGATTGTCAAGATATCGCTCCGGCAAGAAACTCTCGGCATTATCCCAGTACTTCGGATCTCTTCCGATGGACCAAGTATTCACCATGACCCTTGTCTTTGCCGGTATATTATATCCGTTGATAACACATGGCTCCGAGTTTTCTCTAGGAACAAGTAATGGCACCGGAGTATGTAGCCGGAGAGTCTCTTTGATGACGAGCTTTAGGTACTTTAGCTCGTCAAAGTCAGCCTCTTCGACACGCCCCTTGTCCTTGAAGACCATTCGCACTTCGTCTTGCGCCTTCTTAAGGACTTTTGGTTGTTTTAGCATCTCCGCCATAGCCCAATTTATAGTTGTCGATGATGTTTCGATTCCAGCAGTGAACATATCCTGCATTCGAAAGAGTCGCATCATTTAAAAACATCTCATATTGATAATTACAAACAACAAGATTTACATACTCGCAGGACGGATTTTATGTTCTCGGTAGTTAAGTAGAGTTCATGCCCTTCGTCGTTGAACTTGAGGAGAACGTCGACAAAGTTTTCCTGTTTCTTCGACTCATCTTTCGCAGCTTTGCATTCGTCGATTATGTTGGCAAGTATCCTGTCGGAATGTTTATGCAGTCTCTCTGCCCTGCCTCTGATCCCGGTGAGTAGGCCGATCAATTTGATCGAAGGAAAGAAATCCCCCAAGTTCATTCCTCCAATGAGTTCAACTGTTTCTTCGACTATGGATGTGAACGCAGCTAGCTCGTCGGAATTGTACCCGAGGGATGCTTGCATTACAATGTCGCACGAAGTTAAGCAAACTTTTTCCGACAACTCGATCACCGACCCTTCTTTAGAAGCTATCCATCGGCAGAGTTTCGAAACTTCTTCTTCTCTTAAAGGCTGGAACGATTGGACACGTTTTGCGCTCAACAGTTCTATCGTGCAAATTTTGCGCAATTGTCTCCAGTATTCGCTGTACCGGGAGAACGCTATATCGGTATTCTTGTAAAATAAAATTTCCGGGGCTATGAGCGACGGCCTATTGGCGAAGTTGATGTCGTGTGTCTTCATGACTTCTTTCGCGGCATCGGCCGAGGATAAAATAACTGTGCTCACTTCGCCGAGCTTCAGGTGCATCACCGGACCGTATTTCTTCGCCAAGTCGCTCAAAATCCGGTGAGGCAGCTGAGGGCCGAGGAGCTGGTGCAAGTTTCCGATCACCGGAAGCTTTCTCGGCCCCGGCGGAAGATTCAAAACGCCCGAGGATCGCCTGGCTACTTTGAAGATTTTTGCTAGCAATATGATGAAGGAAAGAAGTAAAATTGAAGATGTAAAGTCGATATCCATAATGGAGTCGGTCGAACAGTACTAAAATTTGGGGAAATTATTGCAATCAGTAGCAATTGTGCAGGAACAACGTGAATGAATGAATCATTTTAATAACACACAAGAGAATGACTGAATGATTAATTAATTAATAATGAGTTTCTGTAACATATTTGGATGGCAATGGCCACTTGTGTCTATTGATTGTTTCGATCTACATTTATTTCCATGTCAGAAATCCGATCAAGATTCGTAATTACAGACGAAAAACAATTTTTATTATCTTTTTTCTTATAATCAAGTTGGGAGGCGGCTACGTGAAATTCAGCACCATTCCGACACAGTGTGTCAACTGACAGTAAATAATATATTACTATCGGCAGCACATTATTTTTATTAACATATAACATACTTCTATACACTATCCGTTCTAATTACGAACATACTACTTTTAGTATATTTTATATGTGCCGATTTGAAAAATTAGTACGGTAATTGTTCCCAATCAAGTTGACCTTAAAAGAGTTCATTGAATGATGAATAGGAGGATACAGTGCTCATGGTCAACTGCATTCTTTATTATTGTTGACATTTATTTTTTGCTACAATTAAAATTCATATACAAGAATTTGGTGACAAATTTCTTTACGTGGTTTTTGTTTTTCTTTACGTGCCACAAATAAAATTAAAATGTCTATTATATATTTCTTACGTGGTTTTTGTTTTAATTAAATGCCAATATATTTGTTTATTACAAGTATTGCCACCAAATTTTTCTAAGAGTAATTTGAATTGCGACATAAATAACATCAAAATCTTCAATATTTTTACATTGTTACCAATATTATCATGGTATATATATTTTTTGTGATTCTTTAAAGTCACCACATAAGTAACAAAAATATCAACAATTTTTTCATTGTCATTGAATATTATTTATGTGTATTTAAATTAACAGCAAAAGTAACGAAAATGTCCACAAGATTTTAATTTGGTACAAATAAATATTGCCATGGAATATCTTTTATGACTATTTAAAATATGAGATAAGTAACGAAATATTCGTAAAATTTTGGTTGCATTACATGGTTTCATGAATTTTCGTTGACTATTTAAAATCATATTATAAACAAATTTAGCTTTTATTTCAATTAGATGTATGTTAATTTAATGTAATACACATGTTGCAATAGAATAATCCATGACTATTTATAATTAATATATAAATACAAGATCTAACCCTACTGACACCTTGGTTGAGCCATTAAAAAAAGGAGTGTGGTTGGTGCATGTTGCCTAGTGTGGTTAGCCCGGATTGTTCTGTGAACTCGAAAAGTAGCAACTGTACTACTAATAGTAAAACAAAAAAAAATAATAATAAAGAAAAAAAAAATCATGATAATGCTATTAATTTCTGTGATAATATAGTGTCGAGGGATTGTTGTAGTTTCTGTTCCTATATAAACTCACAAAAATTCGACAGGATTGTCTCATAATTTATTGTCATAATTTTAAAAATGTTACCGGATTTTTGGAGCTTTCGTTTCAATATAAAGTCATTAAATGACATGACTTTTTTGTCGCATTTTTAAAACCTCAAAAGTACCATGGTATTATATCATATTACTGTGTTAATACAGTTTTATGTTTTTCTTGGCCCATAACTCATGGAAAAAGCTACATAATAACTTCAGTAGATTTTTGCTAATTAGTTTTTAAAAATTATGCTTTTTATTTGTAAGGTTTTAGGTTTGAGTTTTAATTTTAAATAGTAAAATTTTAAATTAAAATAATATATTGAACTATGTTGATAATGTTAAATAACATACTGTAATACAAAATTGATAATGAAGTGCAAGAAAAGGTCAGAGAAACCTTTTCTTTTTTTGGTAGAATGGACTGGGCAACCAGAATTAGAGCAAGTTATTTTAGTATTGTCGGTATTGGGCCGAGCCCCCCTCATAATATTGTATTATACGTGGGACTTATAAGATGTTGATATTTTTTCTAAAAAAAAAAAATTCAATATAAGATTTGAGTTTGAATCTCAACATTGAGCTAACTAATCCAGGGCTATCGCTAGGGACCTAATTGGTAGAGGTCAAAGACATTACATGTTTTGCAGAAATGAGTCGATGAGTTTGGAGTCAAGGAGCTCAGTTTCGAGATTGGTGTTCAATCTGAAGAACACTCGATTTGTTACTCAGAGGATATACAAAACAGCCGGCAGTAACCAAAACTTTGTTACTCATATTCATCTTTTTACAATGTGAATATCGATCCTAACAATAAATCTTAAGCAATAATGACGAACATATAATTATTGTTAAAATGAAAAAAAAAAAACCCCTCATTTCTTATTTTAGCATATGGTCAAAATTCACCTTCTTGTAGCAGTTGTCGTTAGAATTCATTTACAGCATTGGACAGATCGAGTCTAGTCATCAGGTTTTGAATTTGTCTTTGTCTACTTTGTCTCATCTCTTCAAATATATAAAAATGACAATTTAGGTGAACAAGGAGATCAAAACGTTGCCAGGTTTTTGGAGGAACACCTTATGTCATTTTTGTGCAAAGGAAAATTAATGGTGTGCCTCCACAAGGCCAAATCTGAGGCTGATTACTCAGCCTTGGGGAAAACAGATTTGGTTGCGAGAAGACTTAGAGGGTATATTGTTGAGAGAGAAATTCTCACATTCGAGCTCTCATCCTTGTTCCCGCCTATCTTCATATTTCGAACTGTTGTTTAACACTTTAACTCGACAAAGGAGTTGTCAGAAATCAGAGTCGTAGAAATTCCAACCGAGGGAGATGATCAAATTGCTCTATGGTCATTAGCTTGTGACAGCTTAAACATGTGGAGGGAATTTCCAATGTCGTAGGCCATTGTAGATATATGAGTTAAAGGAGTTGTGGTTACGTTATATTGTGTAATCAGCATTTATTAGTAGAACTTCTCCTGAATTGGAATCTCCAGATGTTGGTTGGTTCATAACCGAACAGAATTACCAAATACCTTGTCTTCCACCTTGTGGTTCACCGCGGATTGCTGTGTGGACTCGAAAAGTAGTGTGAATAACATACCCAAGTAGGGGCTGCACTGCCAATAGTAAAAAAAACTATTAAGAATCATGATAATGCTATTAATTTTTGCGACAATATAGTGTCACCCGATTTTTGTAGCTTCTGTTTCCTATTCGAAACTCACAGAAACTCGATGGCATTACCCCATACTAGTGTCATAACTTAAAATAATGTTATGGGATTGTTCGAGCTTTCGTTGCTATATAAAGTCATTGAATTAAATGCCATGGAAGCTTATTGTCACAAAAATGCTGCATTTTTTTTAAGTAACCAGCAAAAATCCACTGAGGTTATTCCATAGCTTTTTCCATGACCTATGGGTTAAAAAGACATAAAACTATATTAAAACAGTGATTTTTTTGGTGCGATTTTACACTTATTTTTCTAGTAGGGCTGCTTGTTTAATTGTGCGTATGTGTGTTTGTTGGAAGATAAATCTACCTTTTTTAAACTGTTTCCTACTTTGTTATCACACCAGGAGCTATACACTCTCAAGTTTATTTAATAAATATTGAACTATATATATTGATACTGTAAAATAACAATACATAAATACAAAAAATGATAATGAAGCCTATCAGACTTAGTTTACAGGATATTAGGTTCGACCGGGGTTTACCCAATACACACTTTTGAGTAGCTACTGCGGATTTTCATGTCATAAATAAAAAATAATAATAATAATAATAATGAAGTTTCCGATCAAAAAATATGTATATATATATAATGAAGTGCACGAAAAGCAAGCAAAAAAGAAAGCATTTTTTTTATGCTAAGTACAATTAAACTATATCCATAATGTAAAATAACAACACAAATATACAAATTTGATAATGAAGTGCACGAAAAGTAGACGAAAAAGAAAGCAATTTTTTTTTAGCTACACGAGGGATAACAACTGAAGTATATGATATTTCACGTGAATCATGGTGTGTTTTATTTTATTTTATTTCTACGACATAGAAATTCGTAGTCGCTACTCTTCGAGTGCACTTTGTGTAAAGTCTCAACTCTTCGAGTGCACTTTGTGTAAAGTCTCAGCCGAATCTAATACTCGGCAAATTAAGCGAATAGTATGTGGCAGGTAACCCAAAAATATCGAAAGTTTGAACGCATGATCTCATGATCACGAATCCACTCCTACCGATCATAGTGTTTATTGATATGAGAATTATGTGACAATCAAACCTTAATAAGTGACAGGGGTATGGACACAAGGCTTTACTTAACAATTAAATAACTAACGTTTGTCTATTAGACGGCTACTTACAAGTTTGTTGCACAAATTGATTCTTTCGTCTCGAATTTTCTTGGTTAGCATCGATCTTCTTATATATTCCCCTCTGTAACTGAATTCATTTTGAGACGTGAAAAAAAAAAAAAAACTATTTTGCAAACCCTCTTGTGCTCTATTTCTTCTTCCTTTCATCGTTTCAAAGAAGATAACTTTCGACCCTTAATTTGTCAACCCTTAATTTATCATGATTGATATTTTACATGCTTGCAAAAAGTCGTATTTTTATCCTTTGATCGCGTGTGACGACGTGAGTGATAATACATGTCGGATATTTTTTTATAATTTTCTCACATTAATTTAACCGGATTTGCATATTCTACAGGGATGATCAACATATCTCTATAAACATATGCTGGTCACCCCTGGCATATGTTAATTTGATCAAGTCAGCCATGCTGACTTGACCGGATCGGCACAATATACATATATTTTATTGAAACATATGGTTCAAGAAGACATGTTGATCTCAGGCCTAAGCTAAGGCATAGCAGATTCTGGGGCATCCAAAATCCGTAAGCTCCATTGCCATCACCAAGAACTTTATTTTACCGGCAAAGGTTCAATAACTCTTGGAATGACATGGAGTGGATCTTTTCTTCTTGATGTAATGCCAAAGGTTTCCTCCATGGCCAAATCTTCAGGTTTCATTCCATCAGGCAACACCCAATCGAAGTGATAGAGAAACATCGCCAATGGGAGCTCGACGTTCGCAAGGCCAAACGACATTCCCGGGCAAATCCTTCTTCCGGCGCCAAAGGGGAGGTATTCGAAATTTTTTCCCTTGAAATCAACTGATTTCTCAAGAAATCGCTCCGGAAAAAAGCTCTCGCCATTATCCCAGTATTTCGGATCTCTTCCGATGGACCAAGCATTCACCATGACCCTTGTCTTTGCCGGTATATTATATCCGTGGATCACACATGGCTCCGAGCTTTCTCTAGGAATAAGTAATGGCAATGGAGGATGTAGCCGTAGAGTCTCTTCGATGACTAACTTTAAGTACTTCAGCTCTTCAAAATCTGCCTCGTCGACATGTCCCTTATCCTTGAAGACCATTCGCACCTCGTTTTGCGCCTTCTTAAGGACTTTTGGGTGTTTTAGCATCTCCACCATAGCCCAATTTATAGTTGACGATGATGTTTCGATTCCAGCAGTGAACATATCCTGCATTCGAAAGAATCGTATCATTTCAAAACATCTCATATCGATAATTACAGACAATACAATTTCAAAGGAAGTTCGACAACATACCCGCACGACAGATTTTATGTTCTCGGTAGTTAAGTAGAGTTCATGCCCTTCGTCGTTGAACTTGAGGAGAACGTCAACAAAGTTTTCATGTTTCTTAGAATCATCCTTTGAAGCTTTGCATTCGTCGATTATCTTTGAGAGTATCCTGTCGGCGTGTTTATGCAATCTCTCTGCCCTGCCTCTGATCCTCGTGAGAAAGCCGATCAACTTGATCGAAGGAAAGAAATCCCCTAAGTTCATTCCTCCAATGAGTTCGACTGTTTCCTGGACTATGGACGTGAATGCAGCTAGCTCGGTCGTATTGTACCCGAGGGATGCTTGCATTACAATGTCGCACGAAGTTAAGCAAACTTTTTCCGACAACGCGATCACTGACCCTTCTTTAGAAGCTATCCATCGGCAGAGTTTCGAAATTTCTCCTTCCCTTAATGGTTGTAGGGATTGGACACGTCTTGCGCTCAACAATTCTATCGTACAGATTTTGCGCAGCTGTCTCCAGTATTCTCCGTATGGGGCGAACCCTATATCAGTATTATTGTAAAATAAAATTTCCGGTGCTATGAGCGATGGCCTATTGGCGAAGTTGATGTCGTGTGTCTTCATGACTTCTTTCGCGGCATCGGCCGAGGATATAATAACTGTGCTCACTTCTCCGAGCTTCAGGTGCATCATCGGACCGTATTTCTTCGCCAAATCACTCAAAATCCGGTGAGGCAGCTGAGGGCCGAGGAGCTGGTGCAAGTTTCCGATCACCGGAAGCTTTCTCGGCCCCGGCGGAAGATTCGAAACGCCCGAGGATCGCCTGGCTACTTTGAAGATTTTTGCTAGCAATATGATGAAGGAAAGAAGTAAAATTGAAGATGTAAAGTCGAGATCCATAATGGAGTCGATCGAACAGTACTAAAATTTCTTACAAGTTTAAGGAAATTATTGCAATCAGTAGCAATGGTGCAGGAATAATGTGAATGAATGAATCCTTTTAATAACGCACGAGACAATAATTGAATGATTTAATTTATTAATTGATCAATTAATGGAGTTTCTGTAACATTATTGGATGGCAATGGGCACTGATGTCTATTGATTGTCTCGATCTAAATTTATTTTCATGTCGGAAATCCGATCAAGATTCTTAACACTAACGAGGAACAATTATTGTTATTATTATTATTATTATTATTTTCGTGTAATTAAGTTGACCTTAAATGAGTTCATTGAATGAAGAATACGATGATCGACAGCATTTTTGTTATTATTGGTAGCATTTATTTCCCGTGGAATATTCCATAGCAATGAATGATTCATGCAATATATGGTTGTTCTAGGAATCACATACAAAATTCGACCACATGAGAAAAAAAACAATATTATTTACACAGTTTGGACTAGGTTTATGACTCACTAATCTTCTCTATGAACCCTGTGTAGGCATATAAAGTTGTTATTCTTCAAGTGTGCTCTGGGTAAACCTCCGATCGAACTAAACACGATCACGAATCCACACTATACTATCAGGCCATCCCGTAAAGGATGAGTCGTGTAGTTTTTTAGGAGAGCGATATAGTGATGTATAACAGCTTGTGATTTTTTTATATTCACTACTAGAAGAAAATATTAAAAAAAAAAAAAGAAAAAAAAAAGAAGAAGGTAATAATCACAAAATTTTATTGCAAATTTAAAAAGGACAATTAAAAGTCATATATAAGAATTTTGGTGATGAATTAGTTTATGTGACTATTTAAAGTAGCTGTCATAAATAAAATTAAAATGGCTATAACATATTTATTTGGTGGGTTTTGTTTTAATTAAATGCCAGTGTATTTGTTTATTACATAATATTGCACAAATAATATAAAAGTTTGTGATATTTTACATTGTTACAAATATTACCATGCTATACTTTTTTTCACTCTTTAAAGTCACCACATAAGTAACGGAAATATCTAACATTTTTTCCATTTTCATTGAATATTATTTACGAATATTTTAATTAACAACAAAAGTAATGAAAAATGTTCACAATATTTTGATTTGCTTCAAATATATATTGCCGTGGAATATCTTTTGTGACTATTTAAAATCATAGGATAAGGATAAGTAACGAAATGTTCACAAAATCTTGATTGCAATACATAGTTTCATGAATTTTCTTAAACTATTCAAAATCATATTATAAACAAATTTAGTTTCTATTTCAATTAAATGTATGTTAATTTAATGTAATACACATCTAACAGATCTTTGAAATCGTCCTTCAAATTCAAATTCATCTAACAATATGGACCAAAGAAATTTTGTGATGAACTTTATTTTACAGGCAATGGGTTCCTAAGTTTTTCCTTTTTTTTTTTTTATAACGTCGGAATTGCAGCAGCTATCTGAAGGTACCCACTAAATAAACTCCGATTAGGGATGTCAACAGGGCGGGTTCGGGACGGGTTCTGCAGGCCCCAAGACCCGCCCCGCTAGAAAATATTAAGCCCCGAGACCCGCCCCGCCCAGCTTCCACCCGGCCCCAGGACCCGCCCCGCCCCGAACCCGGAGGGTTCGGAGCCAACCCGACAAATCCGCTTTTTTTAAAAGTATATAATAATAAATATTTTTTAACAATCGAATACTAAAACAAGTAGAATTAAAAGCACCAAAAAAAAATAAATCTAAAAACAATGCAAATATAAGAATTTAAAACATCAAATAGTCAATTCTAACATTCTCAAAGTCTTCATCTTCATCTAGAACTAGTGGGCACTGAGTAAACCCCGGCCGGACCTAATACCCTGCAAACTAGGCCCGAACTATGTGTGGCAGGTGACCTGAGGCATCTAGGGTTTGAACCCATAACTTCACGGTCACACGTGTAACCCCTACACCACCAGGCCATCCCTTACGGGACAAGGATTCATAAGTTTTGGAATGACATGGAGTGGATCTTTCCTTTTTGTTGTAATGCCAAAGGTTTCCTCCATGGCCAAATCTTCAGGTTTCATTCCATCAGGCAACAGCCAATCGAAGTGATAGAGAAACATCGCCAATGGGAGCTCGACATTCGCGAGGCCAAACGACATTCCGGGGCAAATCCTTCTTCCGGCGCCAAAGGGAAGGTATTCGAAATTGCTTCCCTTGAAATCAACTGGATTATCAAGAAATCGCTCCGGCACAAAGCTCTCGGCATCATCCCAGTATTTCGGATCTCTTCCCATGGACCAGACGTTCACCATTACCCTTGTCTTTGCCGGTATATTATATCCGTGGATCTTACATTGCTCCGAGTTTTCTCTAGGAGCAAGTAATGGCGCCGGAGGATGTAGCCGGAGAGTCTCTTTGATGACGAGCTTCAGGTACTTTAGCTTGTCAAAATCAGCCTCGTCCACATGTCCCTTGTCCTTGAAGACCATTCGCAACTCATTTTGCGCGTTCTTGAGGATTTTCGGGTGTTTTAGCATCTCCGTCATGGCCCAATTTACAGTAGTCGACGATGTTTCAATTCCAGCAGTGAACATATCCTGCATTTAAAACTACATTAACATTGTTGGTTGATTCTGATTTGTAGATAAACAAATGAACAAGGCGTATCCCTATAAGCTTAATTTTTAGGTGTGGCGTTCATTTACATCATCTAACACATATCATATTTATAACACCATTAATTAAAGAAGTTCGACAACAAACCCGCAGGACAGATTTTATGTTCTCAATAGTCAAGTGAAGCTCGTGTCCTTCGTCGTTCAACTTGACGAGAACATCAACCAAGTTTTCCCGTAGCTTCGGTTCATCTTTCGTAGCTTTACACTCGTCGATAATGTTTCCAAGTATCCTGTCGGAATGTTTATGCAGCCTCTCTGCCCTGCGTTTGATCCCCGTTATTAGACCGATCAATTTTATCGAAGGAAAGAAATCCCCCAACGTCATTCCTGCCATGAGTTCAACTGTTTCTTCAACTATCAACGTGAATTCAGCTAGCTCCGTCGTATTGTACCCAAGCGATGCTTGCATTACAATGTCGCACGTATTTAAGCTAACCTTTTCCGACAACTCGATCACGGACCCTTCTTTAGAAGCTATCCATTGGCAGAGTTTCGAAACTTCTCCTTCTCGTAAAGTCTTGTATGATTGGACACGCTTTGCGCTCAGCAGTTCGATCGTGCAAATTTTGCGCAGCTGTCTCCAGTATTCGCTGTATGGCGAGAACACTATATCCGTATTCTTGTAAAACAAAATTTCCGGGGCTAGGAGCGACGGCCTATTGGCGAAGGCGACGTCATGTGTCTTCATGATTTCTTGCGCCGCATCCGGCGAGGATATTACAACCGTGATCACTTCGCCAAGCTGCAAGTGCATCATCGGACCGTATTTTCTCGCCAAGTCGCTCAAAGTTTGATGAGGGAGCTGAAAACCGGCGACGAGCTGGTGCAAGTTTCCGATCACCGGAAGCTTTCTTGGCCCCGGCGGAAGATTCGAAACGCCGGAGGATTGCCTGGCTACTTTGATGATTTTTGCTAGCAATATGATGAACGAAAGAAGTAAAATTGAAGATGTAAAGTCGATATCCATAATGGAGTCGATCGAACAGTAGATTTTCTTACAAGTTTAGGGAAATTATTTGAATGAATGAATCATTTTAATAACACACGAGAGGCAAGTTGTTCATATATCTCTAGGGGGTGGAGATTGTCCCACGTAAATCCGCCCCTGAATATATATATATATATATATATATTTTATCATGTCAGAAATCAGATCAAGATTCGAGATGTCTGTCCATGATTTAATAATTGAAGCATGGTGTGATTGGGGATGGAGGAACGGTGTGCTGAAAATGAAAATTGAATTAATTAACCTAACTACATTTATTATGATGGTTATATAATGAATGTTACGATTAAAAGTATTTGTTGATGTTACTTTTTGTGTTTATTTTTTAATATTTTTTTTTACTATTTATCAATTTCATATAATATGTAATTATTGTTGGTGTAAGTTGTTATTTTATATGATTTTCGAAATATGATAGCCCTAATAATAAAATTATTCGATACTAAGTAGATTACATTTTCTTCGGAATTTTAAAAATTTAGCCTCGCTCTCATCCCGATTCTAGAACTATAGCTATTGTTGTGGAATTCCGCAACAATTAATATTATTATGTAACCACAATATATTCAGTTGCAACAAATATTTCATTACAATATAACATTTTCATATTCTAAAAATAATATCTAATTTAATTTAAAATATCCCATAAAATATTATTTACATTTAAATCTCATTAACCTTGTCGGTGGAGCTTGTCACCCCAAACTAGTTTGCAAGCTATTGCGACTTTTATAAAAAAGAAACACACATACATGAATTTCATAACATAAACATCAAATTTATTGCAGAAATCTGAGATGTAAACCAACGCATATGTTGAATACAAAAGTGCAGAAAATAGAACAATCAAACCACAAATTAAATTAAAGTGAAGAATACATGCATGCATACATACATATATATATATATAAATATGTCGATTATTGTTTGAACAAGAGATGCATCAGCCATGTTTTCCAGGCAAAGGTATCTTCACTTTCGGAATCACATACAATGGTTCTTTCCTCCTCAACGTAACCCCGGCCGCCTCGGCCATGTCCATATCTCCGGGTTTCATTCCGTCTGGCAAAGCCCAATCGAAGTGGTAGAGAAGCATAGCCAAAGCATGCTCGACATTAGCGAGGCCAAATGATATTCCGGGGCAAATTCTTCTTCCGGCGCCAAAGGGAAGGTATTCGAAGTTGTTCACTTTGTAGTCGACCGGATTATCAAGAAATCTCTCAGGGATAAAACTATCGGGTTCTTTCCAGTACTTGAGATCTCTTCCAATCGCCCATGCATTTACCAGGACTTGACTTTTCGGAGGTATTTTGTATCCGAAGATTTCACACGGCTCTGTACTTACTCTCGGAAACATTACGGGTATTGGCGTATGGATCCTTAGCGACTCTTTTATGACTAACTTTAGATACTTGAGCTCGTCAAAACAAGACTCATCGACAAATCCCTTGTCCTTGAAAACTAGTCTTACCTCGTCTTGCGCCTTCTTGCAAACACTCGGATGCCTTAGCATTTCCACCATAATCCAATTCGTAGTCATTGAGGATGTTTCAATCCCGGCCTGAAACACATCCTATAAGCACGAGAAATTAGAAAATGCGAAGGATTCGAGAAATATCGAATACGGTAAAAATGAATTTAGAAGCTCGGCGACGAACCATTAAGACGGCTTTTATATTGTTGTCCGTCACCTGTATTTGGTTTCCCGAATTATTAAACTTCAGAAGATTGTCTAAGAAGTCTTCGTGTTGTTTAGACTCGTCCTTCGTCAATGATCTGTGTTCTTTGATGATCTTTTCAAGTATCCTGTCCGCCTTTTTATGCAGCCTCTCTAACTTGCCTTTAATCAGATTGAATTGTCGCAAGAAACTGATCGAAGGATAAAAATCAGCGAGACTTAATCCAATGCCAACTTCGGCGCTCTCATTGGCTATGTCGTTGAATTCTCTTAGTTCGTCGGTCTTTCCCCCAAGCGCGGCCTGAAGTACAATATCACAAGTAGTGAAGCTGATCTTCTCTGTCAAGTTGATCGACAAACCTTCTTTCGACGCAATCCATTTGCACAAATTCGTAAACTCTTGCTCTCTTAAAGCGCGACACGAGTGGCTCAACAGCTCCACGGTGAAGAACTTGCGCATTTGTTTCCAGTATTCGCCGTACGGCGACATTTCCAAACTGGAAGTGTCGTAAAGTATAATATCCGTCGCAATGGTTACCGGTCTGTTAAAAAAGTTGAGCTCATGCTTCTTCATGATTTCTTTTGCGGCTTCCGGCGATGAAATCACGACGGTGCTAAGTTGGCCGAGCTGCAGGTGCATCACCGGTTCATATTTTCCGGCCCAATCACTCATCAATTCATGTGGCAGCTTCGAGCTGGTGACCATCTGGTGCAAGTTCCCGATCACCGGCAACTTTTTCGGCCCCGGAGGGAGTTTCGAATTCGGGTCGGGTATGGATCGGGTAATTAATCTAAAAACCATTGCCAAAAATAGGAAGAAGGAAAAGATGATAACGAAGGATAATGAGAAGTCAGAATTCCATTTTTGGAAACTCTTTGGAGATCTCAAGTACAGCTGATTTTATTTATACTTAATTAATATTCAATCGTAAATGTAATACCCGACACATAATCGAGTTGAACCATACGGTATTTAATTTATTTAAATATTTTAAAATTGTTGCTAATATGTTGATTTTAAACCGCTACAAATTTGTGAGCACTTGTTCGTTTTGAATGAAATTTATGTCTTTAAATAGGAATTAGAGTTAGTTTTCTAACGCCACAAACCGTAAAGCAGAAGTCAAACAAAAGTTATATTGTTATAATTTAATTAAGATTAAAAAAATTATAAATTATCAAATTTATAATATAATTAAAATGTATAATTATATTTTTTAAAAAAAATGACAAATTATCACAAAAATAAAAATTATGAACCATTTATGTATGACAGAAAGAAAATTTCTTTTAGTGTTTAGAAATTAGCTATAAAAGAAATACTCTCATTTTTGTCCGTCTCAATTAAATAGTCTATCATTTTTTGTCCGTCTCAAAACAATAGTTTCATTTCCATAAATAACTATATCACTATAAAATTATCTTTACTTTTTTATATATTTTTTATATTAATTTTTTATCTATATTTTATATACTCTATGTCACTTAAACTTATGTTTTTTTTGTTTTTTATCATTCAACTAACAATATTTTTATCTTGTTATTTAGTAAAAAGATTAAACTACTTTTTGTACTTAAAATAAAGAACAAAAATGCATATTACATTCAAATTCGTATATAAAAATTTGAGAATATTTAATATATACATTTCTCTTTAATTGTGGAATCCACTATTTAATACAAATATTCCTACTTTATTATATATTAATCATTATATCATTGTTTTTATATTAAATAGTAAATATTTATTTTTATATTCTTTTCGATTAAGAAGCGTATTAATAACAATAGTTATTGAGTAAGATTAACATAGTTCTTAATAACAATAGTTTACTTAAAATAAAAATAAATTATAAATTATAAAATTTAAAATATAATTAAAATGTATAATTATATTTTAAAAAAATGATAAATTATGTTGGATAGACGAAAATAAAAAGAATTGATAAATTATGTAGGACATAGTGAATATTGTTTTTAACTATATGATACAATTAAAATATTATTATTTTTTAAATTTTACGTCAAAAATAGTTATATACATTAATGCATAATGAAAAGTAGTAGTAAGGTTATCTCCAACCCAATGCGGGTTGGTGGAATTTTTTACGTTGTTGCAGTGCAATGCCACTTTTGGTTTTGCAACAATCCAAAAATTGACATTGCCTTTCTTTAAAAAAAAAATAAAAAAAATGGTGTAAATTATAAAAGTAAAAAATTGTTTAAAATGATGTATAAAATAATATTGAAGTAAATTATAATATTATATTATAATTGAAGTAAAAATATTGTAACAATTGTATTTATATTAAAATTGTATAAATAAAATTTAGCTGTTGGAAATCGTCTAATTTACTACAAAATAATAATAATAAATATACCTTCAATTGAAAATAAAGAGTATAATATTCTTTTATCAAAAAATATGAAACCAAACAATCATTAATTAAGAATGACAATATCACTGTCCAGGATGGAACGTGTGGAGCGAGAACTTATAACTGTAAGATTATGAATTCAAACCCCAGACCTACGAGTCTACATGCAACATTAAGTTCCGTACCACTTACAATAATTATATCACCAACAAACCATTAAAATATTTGCATAATTATTATTTAATAGTATTTTATTAATAGTGCTGCACTATTTGTTAAATTTAAAGTTTTAAAATTAAAATTATTAAAGATTTATTTATGATTGTTTGGATATTTTATCAGATATTATATTATAACTATTAATGGATTAAAACATGAATATTTATCAAAATCAATATTAAAATAAATAACTTTTATTTTTAATATAAAAAATATAATTGAGTCTTGTGCTTTTCTTTTTTTCAATAAAAAATATTAGTATTCACTATATAAAGAGTGATTTGGTGGTATGGGGAGTGAATTTGTGGCCATGATGTTATGGATTTAAATTTTGCCATCTGTCAATATGATTTGCCTAGTGTAATTTGTTTTGTCGACAAAAATATCAAAATCTCTACTAATAAAATATTATAAACATTACTCAATGTCAGAGTATTGGTGAGAATAGAAAGGGATGTCATGGTGTCTATTTTTTTTTATGACTAATAATAAAGTCCTGTGGTCATTTAATTTCTTGAAGTATTAAAGGTGAACCAACCAACTCTTTTTAATTTTTAGTTATATATATTTATATTAGATATATATTGATATGTTTTAAATCTAGTTTTTACTTTGCTAAGTTTTTACGAGGTCTTCCGGCCGGTCAGCGAGTCGGGGGTTAAAGAGTCCCTTTGCAGTCGTGAATAAATTTGTTTTTTGTAGACGTAATCAACACGTTATTGGTGAACCATGTAAATCTGTGTTTTTTTAAAACTTTTTTTGTTAGTTATTTGATCATTAATCATAATTCGTCACAACAATGCAGGATATCGGATTTAACACTTCATTCATTTATAATAAAAAAAATTGGTTGGAATGTTCTTGAGAATTAAGGAAGATTTCTGACATTTTATGAACTTTTGTTTATTCATAAAAATTTCTTTATTAAAAGCTTACTTATAATGAACCATGATGATGAAAACCTTCTTAATGAGCTACGATAAAATTAAAGAGTGTTACATTAATTCAATAAAAGATTTATTATAAGAGTTACGGCACTTATTGAAAAAGAAGTTACAATTGTTGAATAATTATAGATCTATGATCAATTCAATTGTTAATCTTATGGTTAATTTTAAAGATAAGTAGTTTAACAATTGAAATTCTTAATTTTAATAGGTTTTTAGTTTTTTTTTAAAAAATAAATCATAATTGTATTGAATAATTACGTTATATTTGAAAAGAAAAATCAATCTAAAAAAAAAACATAGTGTATTAATTATTAATTAAATTTATTTAATCAAAACAAGGTAATAACAATATGATCTAATAATTTAAATTACACATTCAAGGTATTATAGACGCTACCTCTATATCAAATAGAAGCTACCCTAATAGATATGAAAACGGAAAGTATGAATATGATATCCATAGCATATAGGATATTCGAGAATGTATTTGACTGAGGTCAGAACTCATAGAGAAAGTGGATCGAACTAAAATCCTCTGGATACCTCAAGGACAAGGTTTGTTGAATACCTTGTCCGACTATAGGAGTTGAGAAAATTGTGTTCCCTTGGCCACGGACTCGAGGAACCACATTTTTTCGCAAAAAATGTCACTTGACTATATTAGAATGGCGACGATGCAATAGGAACAAAATATGTTTCCTTAGATGGTTGGACAAAAGAAGTTACCTCATTTTGGTTGTCTTCCAACACTAAAGGATTTCTTTCACTTTCTTCTTTGTCCCAAAACCATACCATTTCAGTTTGGATGGTCAGTGAGATGGTGTTCGCTAAATATTGTGAGATCTCGAGGGCCGAATCATGTAAAGAGGCTTAGATTTCAGCCTTAATGAGATCTTGAAGTACATTACCGTAAGTGGTAGGTCCAAATTTGGCAAGTTTGTTGGAAGATGATCAATCGGTAGAATCTTCCAAATTTTGATTCCCTAATGGCATGAAACACATGAGATGATCGACAGTTTTACTGGGCGTACCAATTTATTGTCGTTGAAAAGTTCCAATCGACAACATACTAAAATGTTGGGCCAAGCGGATGGAGAAAAAGGTGAGATTCCCGGGCTAACTCGAGAGAGTTTTCCGGACAATCTCCCACGTGTGTGGATTTTGGAATGGATCAAAAACACACAAAAAAAAATAAAAATACAAGAGGTAAATAACAACTTAAAAATCGATATTCAAAGTAGGATTGATCAAACACATAATACAAGTGTTTGGAAATAAAAGAAATGAAACACAAAAACAAGAAAGCAAAAATATTTAAATAAAGAGCTACATTTTGGAGAAATTTTGATTGATTTATCCATGCATGGTGGTCATTTTTATTTTCCCCCTTCTTTTGTAAAGACTTCAATAATTTTTCCATTCATTATCTCATTTATAGACTCTATAATTACTTTTTAACTCCACTTTAAAGACTTCATATCAAAACTCTCATCCCAAATGTTATCATTAGACAAAAGTATCCTCATAATGATATTAGATTTTTTCCTTTTAGTAGTTCAAATAAAAATTAGCAATATTTACACTGCAAGTTCTAATAGAAATAGAATTTTTTTTTTTCATAAAATATCATATCAAAATATTTTTGAAAGGTTCAGTAATGTGGAGTGAACTAGTGATTGTGAGGTTATAGTTCAAACTTTCGTTGTCTCTAACGAAAATGTTTTAATATAGATGAATTGGTGATTTTGCCATCTCTCACTATAATTTGGTTTTAGTGTGCCGTATTATTTATATATATATTTTTTTAATAAATTATCAAATCAGAATACTTATTTTTTTTATTAAATATAAATAACAAAAAATCAAAATTTTATTTAAATTATCATATCAAATATTTATTTATATTACATTGAGTATTATTTTAGTTTAAATTTTTTAGTAATTTTAAAGTCCAAACTCAGATTCGAACCTTAAAAAACAATGCATACATACTACCAACATACACATAGTTTTTCTAGTTTATCTAACTTTGCTTCGGTAGCGATTGCGGATTTTCAAGTTAAAAAAAAAAAAAGAAAAACGAAAAAACAAAAGACATAGTTGATATGATATGAATCTCATTAACTCTAGTGTGTCTCTTGTAACTTTTTTGTTCGATCTAATTTGCAAACTATTGTGTCTTCTTACCCAAAAGAACAACACATATGTGTATTAATCACAAAATTGAAACATCAAAATCATCAAGAACAAGACGTACACATATTCTATGTACAGAAATCTATGATGTAATTTAAAACAAGGTGATAACAGAAGTGCAAAAAACACAACAATCAGAAATTCCTTATTGAAAGTAGAATAAATACATAAATTTAGTGATTTTTGGTTGAACATGAGATGCATCAGTCTTGTTTTCGAAGCACAAGTATCTTCACTCTCTTTAGTAAAATATGAAAGAATAATCAGCGCTATGTGCTTATTACTACGCCGCGGCTGCATAAAGGTATCTTCACTCTGGGAATCACATACAATGGTTCTTTCCTTCCCAACGTAACGCCGGAAGTTTCAGTCATGTCCATATCTTCAGGTTTCATTCCATCGGGCAAAGCCCAATCGAAGTGGTATAGAAACATCGCCAAAGCAAGCTCAACATTAGCGAGGCCAAATGATATTCCGGGGCAAATCCTTCTCCCGGCGCCGAATGGAAGGTACTCAAAGTTGTTCACTTTAAAGTCGACCGGATTATCAAAAAATCTCTCTGGGATAAAACTATCGGGTTCTTTCCAGTACTTGGGATCTCTTCCGAGTGCCCATACATTTATCAAGACTCTACTTTTTGAAGGTATTTTGTATCCGAAGATCTCACACGGCTTTGTACCTTCTCTAGGAAACAATATGGGTATCGGCGGATGGATCCTTAGAGACTCTTTTATTACTAACTTTAGATACTTCAGCTCGTTGAAACAAGACTCATCGACGAATCCCTTGTCCTTGAAAACCAATCTTACCTCATCTTGTGCCTTCTTATAAACACTTGGGTGCCTCATCATTTCCACCATAATCCAATTCGTAGTCATCGAGGATGTTTCAATCCCGGCAGTAAACACATCCTATATAGACAAGAATTAGAAAACTCGAAGGATTCAAGAAAAATCGAATAGAGTAAAAAGGAATTTAGAAGCTCGGCGACAAACCAGTAAGACGGCTTTTATATTGTTGTCCGTCACCTGTATTTGGTTTCCCGAATCATTAAACTTCAGAAGATCGTCTAGGAAGTCCTCGTGTTGTTTAGACTCATCCTTTGTCGATGATCTGTGTTCATCGATAACCTTTACAAGTATCCTGTCCGCCTTTTTGTGCAGCCTCTCTAACTTGCCTTTTACGCCATTGATTTGCTGAAGCAAACCGATCGAAGGATAGAAATCAGCAAGAGTGAATGCAGCTCCAAGCTCGGCGCTCTCGTTGGCTATGTTGGTGAATTCTCTTAGTTCGTCGGTCTTTTTCCCAAGCGATGCCTGAATTACAATATCACAAGTAGTGAAGCCGATCTTCTCTGTCAAGTTGATCGATAAACCTTCTTTGGACGCGATCCATTGGCACAAATTCCTAAACTCTTGCTCTCTTAAAGCGCGGAATGATTGGACTCGTGCCGCGCTCAACAGCTCCACGGTGAAGAACTTGCGCATCTGTCTCCAGTATTCGCCGTACGGCGCCATTACCAAATTGGAAGTGTTGTAAAGCACAATATCGGCCGCCATGAATGCCGGCCTGTTAAAAAAGTTGAGTTCATGCGTCTTCATGATTTCTTTTGCGGCTTCCGGCGATGAAATGACAACATGGCTAACTTCGCCGAGCTGCAGGTGCATCACCGGTCCGTATTTTCCGGCCAAGTCGGTCATCAATTCGTGTGGCAGCTTCGAGCTGGTGACCATCTGGTGCAAGTTCCCGATCACCGGCAGCTTTCTCGGCCCCGGAGGGAGTTTCGAGTTCGGGTCGGGTATGGATCGGGTAATTAATCTAAAAACCATTGCAAAAAACAGGAAGAAGGAAAAGATGAAAACAAAGGATAATGAGAAGTCGAATTCCATTTTTGGAAACTCTTTGGAGATCTGAAGTTACAGCTGATTTTATTTATACTTATAAGACTTTTCAATATAAAATATGTAAAAAAATGGGAAAAAATCATTTTTGTCTCAATATAATTAAAATTCATCAATTTTGATTTTAATATAAAAATTTTATCAATTTTGGTTCCAATATAATCAAAACTCATCATTTTTTGTTTCAATATAACCAAAACTCATAATTTTTTGTCCCAATATAACCAAAACTCATCATTTTTTGTGTCAATATAAAGTTTTTATCGATTTTAGTCTCAATATAACCAAAACTCATCATTTTTTGTCCCAATATAATCAAATATTATCTTTTTTTGTTCCACCGTCAACAAACCGACGAAAAAGATCGTCTAGTTCCTCTCCAAATGAGAGCTGCATGTCATTTCATTTTCCGTCGGTTTGTTGACGGTGGGACAAAACAAGATAAAATTTGGTTATATTGGAACTAAAATTGATAAAAAATTTATATTATGACCAAAAATGAAGAATTTTTGATTATATTGAGACCAAAATTGATAAATTTTTTATATTGGAACAAAAATTAATAAATTTTAATTATATTGAGACCAAAAATAATTTTTTTTTCTAAACAAATTTATTAATATTTTGGATAAACTGATTTTTAGTACATTATTAAACATATTTATCATTTTTGTCTCTTATAAAACGATACGACGCAAATAATTGAATAATGTAATCAATGAGTTTTTGTAGCATAATATCGGGCGACAATGCCCAATGGTTCATTTCCATCTTAGATATTTTCACGTCATAAATAAAAATATTAAATATATATATATATATATAATATTTTAGATAGATCGCAACTAATAGCCTGCAAATTAAATTAGTAAAATATATTAGCCTTCATCTATAACATTAACGTGTATTGCATTCTTTATTGTTGTGGAATATTTCAATAGCTTTGTACACATATATAATTACTTATGATAGATATGGCCCGAGGGAATATATAATTTCTGTGCGCAGTCAAATATAAATAATCAAAATTATACTCTTCGTTTTATTTTAAAGTATTATTTTTATTAATTTTATTCTTCCCATTTTAAAGGATTATTTTTTTTAGTAAAAATAATTATATTTTAATACCAAAATACTCATAACTTTTATTTGAATTACTAATATAGGATTACACATACACTTATTTTTTATATTATTAAAAATTTTGAGGGAAAATAATGAGATCTTGTTATTTATTATCAAATAAAGAAAGCAATACAAAACAGGCTCCATAAACTCAAATTTAAGTAATATAATATATGAATAAGACTAAATATAAATCAACTAAATCTAAAACTAAATATCTAAAATATTTCAACTTACATAAAATCAAATGGCAAAAATATCAAATCTTCTTACACACTTCCACTAACTAATAAAATACTACTACCTCCGTCCGGCTCTAAGGATCTCATTTACTTTTTACGTGTTGATATTTGAATATTAATTGTTAAATGAAAACGTAGTACAAATAAAAAAAAATGACAAAAATACTTCTATCAGTGTCTTGTAATACTATTATAATGAAATTTGTGCAAACAATTATACAAATATAAGGATATCTGTAAGGCAAATGAGAATGAAGTATTATTTCTTAATTTACTACAAAATCCCAAAAGTCATTTCAAAATGGACAGAGGGAGTAATATATATTTTTTATTCTCTTAAAATTTGAATTTTTTTTTTCAATTAACCAAAATAAAATATTGAAAATGTGAATGAAAAAACTCTTTGTTAATTTTAGCATACAGACAAATATATTTTCTTCATACTGCAGCAACCTTACTTTTTATAGTATTCGTAGGTTGTAGAAAAGGTCGTCTCTGCAATCTTGCTGCAATCTGAATTTGTGGGCTCAATTTTATTCATTGTGTCCAATCTTTTAAATGGCCACAAGAGTCAAATATAACAGTTTTGAGATGGTCAGACTCGTGCAGAATCATTAGAGAAGACTCCATCCCATTTCATGCAAAAAGAAATTAATGAGAGGTTGTTCTTTCCAAGGTTACGTGATATATACGATCAAATGAGAAAAAGTTTGGTGGTGAGTAGGTTTGAGAGCCAAAATATAGAGAAAGAAATTATCGTGTGTGCTTTCACTCTTCTCCTCATTTTCTCCATGTTTTGAATTGTTGTTTAACACTGAAACCTACCAGAGAGGTCGACGGAGATCGGAAATAATGGAGTTCCAATCGGAGAGGATGATCAAACTTTGAGCTGCTCTGCTGTATAGTCGTTGTCAGTACGCACGCGTTTGTGACGACGTAAACCTATGGAGGTATTTTCCTAGGTTAACCATGATAGTTTTTTTGGTTGAAAGAGTTGTAATTGTTTTTGTCCTTAATCAGCACTGATCAGTGGAATATGTACTGAATTGATATCCCCAAACGTAAATTGATTGATAATCGAACCCGATCGACAAATACCTTGGCTCATCTATTGTTTTTCTGGTCAAGTATTTATATCGCTGTTAGTAAACTGTTATTAATGTGAGTTAATTGCGCCTTTAAGGAAAGTTGATCCTATTTAAGATGTTGGAAGCAGATTTGTCGATTATAATTGAACTAAAATAAAAATTTATAAAAGGAATTTCGGATCCAATTGAACCAATGAACCAATGCAAATCGAACAGTTCGAGGACCGATGATTGCTTACCCCCACTTCCCAATAAGTTGTTCGTAAATTTATTTCATATTTATTGTGTATGGGCACACTCCTTTATGTAATTTTCTCATTGATCTTTTTGTTGGTTTTTTTTAAAAAAAAAAAATACTTGGGTCCCACCAATTATTGTATCTTGTCATATTTTGAAAAACAATCAAATTTCGAATGGAATTAAATTATTTGATTTAATATAAATTAAAATCAATTCAATATTTTAAATGGAAAAAAAAATGAAAGTTATTTAATAAAGAATTAAATATATAATATTAATTTATTCAGACAATTTTTATATTAAAAATATCTAATTTTACTTCTCTTAATAACAGTAATTTACTTTAGTCATTGAACATGTTACACTCAAAAAAAAAAAAAAAAATAGTATATTTGTAATGGAATTCTATTAAAGATCACGTAGCTAACTTAATTTCATCATTAATTTCGTCTTTAATATCATTAGTAACGGAAAAAGAGAATTTAAAGACGAAAAAATCTCGTTACAAAAATGATATTTTCTTATAGTGTTAGGGTGTGTTTACTCGTAAGGTTTTGTTTTTGGGTTTTGATTTTGAATAGTAAACTTTTGAATTCAAATAGTTATTTGATATGATATAAATATTTATTGATGTGATGTTTCAAATATAAAATAAAGTTTTGGTGTTATATAATAAATAAATAATAAAGGTTTGATTTAATATCTTTTGGAGGGAAAAAAAATTGGAATGGTAAAATCATAGGAAAAAAACTCACAGGTAAACATACTCTAGTATATATTTCCTCCGTCCGCTTCAAAGGGTTACATTTACCTTTTGTGTTATTGTAGTTAATATTAAAAATATCTTTATATTTGTATAATTTTTTATACAAATGTCAATTATAAGACACTAATTAAACTATTTTTGTAATTTTTATTAATTTATATTACGTTTTGATATAATAATAATTAATATTCAAATATCAACACGCACAAAAATATTTATTATTGTAGATATGATTTGTTTGGTTGTGATTTAAAATTAATTTAAAATAAAATTTTTATTTTTATTATTTTTAAATTCTATTTTAATTGAATATTTTATGAAAATAAATAGTATATTTTTATTTATTTGAATTTAAAACTATAAAAGAACAAACTTAATATAGTATCCAATAAACACATAGCACGGGTCGAGACTAATATATCTATTTCTGATATGAAAATAAATGTATAATTGAATTATGTATATTTTAGTAGAATGATAGTAATAAATTTTTAATTAATATATAATATATTTACTTGTATTTATATATATATATATTAATTTTAAAAATTAATATAACTATTGGATGTAATATTTTAAATGTATGCCTGGTTTTATATTTTATTGAAAAAAAACAATGACTTTATTAGTTCAAGTCAATTTTTGGATTGCAATTTTTAAATAATAATAATAATAATAATATTAATAAAAATAAAGAATATAAAATATTTTTTAACAAAAATAATATAATATTTAACTTAAAATAATATATTTTATATTTTTTTATATTTGGTATACAGAATTAATAAGTTGAATAAGAAAATTAAGAAAAAGAAAACAAATAAACACATTACTGGAAAGAATTTTAAAAATAAATATTTTTGATAAATATTTGTAGTAATTACAACATATTTCCATATCAAAATAAATACTCTGTCTGTCAGTAGGCATATGAGACCATGCCCGGCCCAATAGGGATGGGCCCACTACCAGAGCCCATTAATGTAAGAGGCTTATGTCCTCCAAAATTTATATTACTTAAAAAAAAAAAAAAAAGAAAAAAAAAATCTATATTTCATGTCAATTGTTTTAATATCAATTTAACTACATTTACTTTAAAATAATTTTTTATGAATAATTTCACTATTCAATGTGTTCCTTTATAGTTTGTTTGGTTGTACTCCCTCCGTCCCACATAAGTTGTCTTTATTTTCTATTTTCGTCTGCTCTACGTTACTTATTCTTTCTATTTTTGGAAATATAATTATGCACTTTAACCGCATTTTAAATTTTATAATTTTTTTAATTTTAATTAAACTATTTACTTATCTTTAATCTTAATCTATAATTATTTTTACTAAATAATAATTACTTTTACTAATACACTTCTTAATTATTTACTAATTATATTTTATCTAAATTCTCGTGTCTACAGTAATACACCCATATTACATGGGACGGAGGGAGTATTTAGTTTTAAAAGTTAAGTTTGTATATTACATAATAAAATTTCAAATTGAAATACTTATGCCATGTTATATAAATAGATTTTATATGATATTATAAATTTGAAATCAATAATTAATATAAATTAAAAAAATAAAAGTATTTGATTTTATATTTTTTGCACAAAAAATTATATGAAAAGTAAAAGTAAACCAAATCCTACAAATATATATATATATATATCTTTTTATTATAACATATAAAATGATTTTGATACTTTTACAGTACAAAAAAATGAATATTTTTATAAGACTTAACAATCATTTAGAATGACAATTTCACATTCAAAAATTATATCATCTTATAAATATTATTCTCTCTATTTCAATTTTTTATGCCACATTGCAATGGTACAGAAAATTAATAAAGAAAATAATAATAATAATAAATTAATTATTATTTATTAAAATTAGTATAATAAAATTATAAATAGATAAAATTATTTATTATAAACAAATTACACTAATGTATTTTAATACACGAAAATCAATAAGCTTTAAGTAATTTAAACAATCTATTTAATTTTTTTTCTTAATGTATATAGATTATTAGGCCAATATTTTAATTACATCTAATAATATTTTATTAATAATATAGTAATATTTTTTTTAAATTTAAAATTTTTAAATTCAACTTATTGAGAATCTATTTAAAATCATCGATTTTTAATAAAATATATTATTTTTTTTATATAAAATATCATATTAAAATAGTATTTAAATTAAAAATCACCGTATTTAAAATTAAATTTAAAACATAACCAAACAAAATATTTAATACTATTATCTTTACTACTAAAATAACTATTAACAAACGATTTCATGTGATGAGCTGTTGGTCTTGTCAAATCAATATGACGCTGATTTGATCAGATTAATATACGGTATAAGGATAATCAATATATATATATATGTATAAATATACGTTGGTCACCCATATAACATATGCTTATTCGGTTAAATTAGGAGTATGTTGGGACTTCCGTTTATGGATATATGTTCTCTAAATTCGAACTTTTAGATAAAACGGTCATTTAGCATCCGACATGGTATCAGAGTCTGGCTAGGTCTTGAATTTATACCTCCACTTGCACCTGATCTGTCATTCAAAATGAATGGGCCCTAGGGACAGTGCATTCAACAGGTGCGGACAAAACCTATATAAGGCACGTTCAAAATTGCACATTTATTACAATATATATACAATTGAACTATTGTTAGATTTGTGAACTTTAACCAGTATAATATTGTCCGCATTTGGTCAAATTTGTACGAATTTATTTCTAAATTTTCTCTTAAAAATATTATTTTAAGTGGAATTCATTTAGAATTTATAAAACGTGAATTTTTTTTTTAAAATATTTCACCATGGAATTTGTACATGCACCGACAATTTATTCACTGTGGGATCAAAGGATCTGTTGTTAACTATCCGGATGGACCAATACGACGTTAAGAGCTAAGGCCATCTCCAAACCATCGTCTCTATTTATCCAATTTTAACTCTAATCATAACTCCGTTTTTCACTATTATTCTTCAAATATTCAATTTTTTCTATTATTTTAAACAACTTTTTATTTTTATAATTTAAAATAAAATTAAAAAAAAAATTAAAACTAAAAATTAAATTTATAATTTTAAAAAATTAAAAAATTAAAAAATAAATAAATAAACAAATAGCGTTTGCTACAGTGCAACACAATAGCAAACTCTAAATTTTGTGCATGAAATAGCGTATGATTAGAGCAGCATCGCGGCAAAAATAGGATTAAAACACCATAAATAGAGATCGGTTGGAGATGCTCTAAAGAGATTTTCGATATCTTTTTCTTTTCCTTGTCTATTTTTATTAATTTATTTATTATTACTCTCTTTCGACTTCCATCTTCAACTGCATGATGTGAATTCCTCCACGTATACACATTTTAAACCACTTTCCCCAACTACCACACAATCTATTTCTATTGTACTGTTAAATTGGATTATCATTAATCTTTTTTTGTCTGATTCAAATATATAAATTAATGATGTATTTTTTTAACAGTATGAACTTTTAAGTGAGACGTCATTCTGCGCATCCGATATAGTATCAGAGCATTAAGTCTCCACTGTTCCCATTTTGCATATCCATGTACAAATTTCGCATATAGCTCCGGTTGCACCTGAGAGACAATTATTGTGGGCATCTGACAAATAGCAATTTTTAGAGATTTTAATATTATTTAATTTTTAAAAAATATTATATCAAATATTTTAGTTTTATAAAATATAATATCAAATTCTCACTTTTTTTTTATTATTTTCAAAATTTTCAAATTGAAAACACAATCAAACACTGCTGCATCTTTTTATCTTGTTTGTCTATATGTTATTTTACTCTTCTCTCCCTCCATGTTTGCACACTTTTAATCGCTTTCCCAACCTAACAAGTTATTATTCTTTGGGCCTTTCTTTTTATGTTGAGTTGCTATTACTTCATTGGGCTTTCATCTCCCACTCTATCTATTGCTTTTGGGCCCAAGTTTGATTTTTGGATTTTGGGTAATAGAAATATATATATATATAAAAAAAAAAAAAAAACAATTTTACGCAATTGAAATTATTAAAGATTAAAGGATGTCAAAATTAAGCTAACTTTGGAATAAGACACGTGAAATCACTAAAAAAAATAATATATTTGTAACGGAATTCCGTCTCTAAAGTTCACGTAGCTAACGTAATTTCATTTCTAATACCGTCTCTAATGTCATTAGTAACGAAAAAAATAGATTTAGAGATAAAAACATTTTGTTACAAAAATAATTTTTTTTTGTAGTGAGTACATGCTCGATGAAGCTTAACATGGACATTGTCGCTTACGAAGCAAATAATGAAAGGAGTGATAAATACTATCATAACAACCCTAATGTTGTAATGAACTAATGATTGAGATAATTCAACATTAGTACGATATTATCTGCTTTATAAGTCAAATTTATATATATTTGTTTTTGAACTTTTACAAAATATCTCATATTAGGTGAGTTAGATGCTAACTTTTTTTAAAAAAATGATTCTTTATTATTATTTTATTTGTTGTATATGTGATTTGAGTTTGTTCATTTTTTTCAATAGGATCCATCTTGGATTTGTTACAAATAAATTATTTCGAGTTGTATATATATATATGAACTATTGTGTCCTTATGGTGGTGTGAAGAAAATTTATAATGAAAAACAAAAAGGGATTGCATATGATGTATTTTAGTGTAAGATATCTTTATAAATAATATGAAAACAAAATTGAAAAACATACCTAAGCATATATAATTTACATCTTTTGTTTCTTCATTTATGGTTTTCTTCTGTTCTTCCTAATTTAACCTAACAATATAAAAGATCGATAAAACAAGACCTCGAAATGGAAGAATGGCAAGTAACAAAGATGTAATAAACGAGAGGTCATTCTTCCAAGAAATCAAACATAAAATTAAACAACCAAACCATAGAAAACGAAACAAGTTCAATAGTACCAACAAACATCAAGACAGCAATCTACCATGACACTCAATGTCTTAATTAAACATAACATAAAAAAGATCGATAGAATGCCTCGATTTTACTTGAGAGGCACAGGGTTCTTCATTATAGGAATCACATAAAGAGGATTCTTCCTTCTTGCTGTAATGCCAACAGTTTCAGCCATGTCCAAATCTTCAGGCTTCATTCCATCGGGCAAAACCCAATCAAAGTGATAGAGAAACATTGCCAATGGAAGCTCGAGGTTGGCGAGGCCGAAAGTCATTCCCGGGCAAATCCTTCTCCCGGAACCGAAAGGGATGTAGTCGAGATTCTTCCCGGTGTAATCAACCGAAATGTTATCGAGATACCTCTCCGGTATAAAGCTGTCGGCATCTTTCCAGATCTTAGGATCTCTTCCAATGGCCCAAGCATTCACCAAAACCCTAGTTTTCGCCGGTAGTTTGTATCCATTAATCTCACAGGCCTCCAAGTTTTCTCTCGGGATCAGTAGCGGCACCGGCGGATGCATCCTCAGTGTTTCTTTAACCACTAACTTCAGATACTTTAGGTTATCGAACTCGGACTCATCGACAAATCCCTTGTCGCCGAAAACCTCCCTCACCTCATCTTGTACCTTCTTAAGAACTCTCGGATGTTTAATCAGTTCCGCCATAGCCCACTCTGCAGTTGTCGACGATGTTTCGATTCCAGCATCGAACATATCCTATTTACACATTAAGTTAGATGATCAGAATGATCGTCTCACTTGTAAAAATCTCTTCAAAACATCAAATCAAAGTACCTGAAGCACCGCTTTTATGTTGTCATCGGTTAATTGCAGTTCATGTCCGCTGTCCTTATGGTACTTGAGGAGAACATCGGCTAAATCTTCGCGCTCTTTCTTTCGCGAGGCAGCTACTTTGTGTTCGTCGAGGATTTTCCCGAGTATTCTATCTGCTAACTTGTGCACCTTCTCGATTCGGCCTTTAAATCCGTTGATCGTTCCGAACCATCTAATCGATGGATAGACATCGACGAGATGGAATCCGGCCGCTACGGCTGCGCTTTCTTTAACGATATTTATGAAATGGTTGTGTTCATCGGTCTTATTCCCGAGGCACGCTCGCATAACCGTGTCGCATGTCGTCACGGCGAGTTTCTCCGTCAAGTTGACCAAAGACCTTTCTTTCGAAGCTATCCATCGGCAAAGATTTGAAAAATCTTCCTCCCTTATAGGGCGGAAAGATTGTACGCGTCTCGTGCTCAACAGCTCTACTGTGCAAATTTTCCGCAACTGTCTCCAATATTCGCCGTACGGCGAGAATGCAATGCTCGTAGGCCCATAACATATAATATTTATCGCAAAAAACGACGGCCTATTCGCGAAGGTAATGTCGTGAGTTTTCAAGAACTCTTTTGCTACGTCGGATGACGATACAACGACTGTGCTGATTTGACCCAATTGCAAATGCATCATCGGCCCATATTTTGCGGCCAAGTCGGCCAAAACCCGGTAGGGTGGCCGGAAGCTGACAAGGTTGTGCAAGTTTCCGATCACCGGAAACTTTCTCGGCCCCGGCGGAAGCTTCGCCGGAGTCCGGCGGCGTTTGGTGAGAGTGATCGCGTTCCATAAGGTTGCAAGAAATATGAGAGATGAGATAAGGATAATGAAAAAGGAGAAAGCGTTTTCCATTGATTCGAGTTTTTTGCAGTGTGAGTTTAGAACAATTTGCTGCAAATCGAAAGTGTCGATTGAAGATGCAAGAGCTGTAATAAATAGGTAAAGAGAAATTAGGGTTTTAGTTTTAATTAATTATTTCCACCTCTGTACTCTGCACGAGGCAGATTTTACGGTGTGCTTTTCTGAAGGTATGCATGGGTTGTAACGTAGGCGGTTACTCGACATATTTAATACATGATATACTTCCTTTCGTCTTTTATTTATGTATCGGATTTGTTTTTTTTCATTAAAATTTAAAAATATTAATATTATATTAGAGTGTTTTATGAATAAAGTAAGAAAATAATTAAAATAGTTTTAGTAGTATTGTCTGATATAAATATAATGATATTTGTGTAATATATTATAAATTGTAAAAGTATTTTTAATGTTAGCAAAACATACTGTTATTAAAAAATTAAATGGATACTTCGTCATGTCACATACCAAAATAGAAAAATTGATAAATTATTGAGGGATAGAAGGAGAGCTCCGTCTGATAACAAAGTATCCATTTTTTCATTTTAGTCCGTCTGATGACAAAGTATCCATTTCCTTTTTTTTTTTTTAGTAACTGTACTATCTACCTAACATTACAAATACCCTTACAATTTACAATATATTACACAAATGTCATTACATTTATATCGCACATACTAATAAGGTTATTTTAGTTATTTCTACTTTATTCCTACTATATCTCAATATAATACTAATATTTTTAAAACTACATGCAAAAAGCAAATGGATATTTAGTTTCGTGACGGAGGAAGTATATGATTAAGAAAAAAAATTGAAAATATGTATTCAATTATTTCAATATGAATGTAATATTTTTTTTTTTTAAAAAAAAAAAGAAGTTCAAAGCATAATGCTACCCATGTCCGGAAAGCCAACCAAACATACCAAAATAATTTTTTTGTTTAATATTTTATTAAAAAAGTGACTATTTTTATTTCTTAATATCCCTCCCAACTAAATTTTTTATTTTTATTATTTTTTAATAAATTATTATCATTTTTAAAATTTTTGAACCCAAATATTCTAATTTTTAGGGACGAAATGAGTACATAAAATAATAAAATATGATTAGGATTTTCCCTTTTCTGATTATACTCTGCACGAGGCAAATTCTTTGGTGTATTTGTTCCCATGTAACGTATACATGACTAAAAGTGTAGGCCATTGCAACTTTGTCAATTGCTAAATATTTTATGCCTTTCTTTTTCTTTTTATTTAGTATAAAGCACTTTAAATATGTTTTATGTCGTAGTTTTTAATAATAAAATATATAAAAGATATAACAAATATTATCTTCGTCATCTAAATTTATTTTTATCTCGTCTTATTTGTTAATTATTTTTATTTTTGTCAATCCATACAATTTGTCATTTTTTTAGAAAAAAATAATTATGTATTTTAAATTTTATAATCAATAATTTTTTTATATTTTAATTGAATTAACTATTTCTTTTAATATTAATTTATAATTATTTAATAATTATATTTTAACTAAATTTTTGTATATATAAAAAATTGAATATAAAAAAGTAGGACGAAAAGAGTATATTAATAAGAATGTGCTAAAATTATATTGCATTCTATATATTTGTATACTCTATTCGTTTTAAATTAAAGAGGTCATTTGTGATTTTGTATTGAATTAAGAAATAATAATATTTTATTAGTTAGTGAGAGTATGTAGAAATTTTTGATATTTTTGTTTTTTGATGACTTTATGTAAAAAAAAATAATTATATGTGTAATGGTATATTTGTAATTTAAGTGAAAATTAAGAGTATTTTGTATTAGTGTATGATTATTTTTTTAAAATGAGAAATACATACTTTGAAATAAGAGAGATGAAAATAGTAAAAAAAAAAAAGTAATTTAAATTGAATTTATTACTTAGATACGAGAATTTAGGTAAAATATAATTAGTAAGTAATTAAATAGTGTATTAGTAAAAATATTATTGTATAGTAAAAATAAATATAGATTAAAATAACTAAATAATTGAATTAAGATTAAAAATTTATAAAATATAAAATTTATAATTCGATCAAAGTATATAGTCATATTTCAAAAAAACATAAAATATTATGTAGATCAGACGAAAATAAAAATATAAATGAATTATGTGGGACGAAAAGAATATCATCGTGAGTAAAATGATGACTAATAAGAGTTCTATCATATATGCTAGATGTAACGTTTATATAGTTTTGGTTGTTTGTATTAGTAAGTGTTTTAACGATGTTGTAATTTTTAATTTAAAATTATATGTTCAATATAAAAATAAATATTCTATGTGGTATTTTTTGAAAGGCAATCTTTTTTCTTGTGTCAATTTTTTAGTTTTTATATATTTGTTCATTTGAAATTATTCTTTTGAAGTTAAGTAGCTATAGATTGTAATATTTTGAATGAAAAATAAGTTTTGAATATAAAATTCTTGGTGATAAAATTAAAATATTGAATAATAAATAATATTAGAAAAGATATATACAGAATTTACAAAGTGTGAAAATAAATCTCAAATATATAAACAAATTCACAAGTAAAAATATTTTTATTTTCATTTTTTTCGAGTGGATAAACTCGGGGTAAACCCCAACCACTACAAGAAATAATCATTTTTGTAACAAAATATTTGTGTCTCTAAATCTACTTTTTCCGTTACTAATGACATTAGAGACGGAATTAGGAATAAAATTACGTTAGCTACGTGAACTTTAGGGACGGAATTCCGTTACAAATATATTATTTTTTTGTAGTGAACGGAAATGCTGTCAAACAGGTGACCTTAGATCAACGATCACAAGTCCAACCCCTACAACGTGAGGCCATCCCTTACGGGATATGTTTATAAGTATTTTGGTTGTTTGTATTATGAAGTCTTTTAACGCTATTTGATGTTGTAAATTTTAATTTAAAGTTATATGTTGGATACAAAAATAAATATTGTATGTGATACTTATAAAAAGAAAAATTTTCATTTTCTTATGTTATTATTATTATTTAAAAGTTATGCATTCAAAGCTAAATAGATATCATCAATTGTAATCGAGTATATCATAACTCATTGTCTACATTATTAATATATGTCTAGGAACAAGACGTAATCAAAGGTCATTCTTTCAAGAAGCCAAACATAAAATCGAATAGCATAAAAAACAAAACACAAGTTCGAAACTTCTCAATTCAAAGCAATACATATCAAGATAGTAATAATCTACCATGACACTCAATGTCTTAATTAAACATAACATAGAAAAGATCGATAGAATGCCTAGATTTTACTTGAGAGGCAAAGGGTTTTTCATTTTAGGAATCACATAAAGTGGATGATTCCTTCTCGATGTAACCCCAATTGTTTCAGCCATGTCCAAATCTTCAGGCTTCATTCCATCGGGCAAAACCCAATCGAAGTGATAGAGAAACATTGCCAATGGATGTTCGATGTTAGCCAGGCCGAAAGTCATTCCCGGGCAAATCCTTCTCCCGGAACCAAAAGGGATGTAATTAAAATTCTTTCCAGTATAGTCTACAGAAATGCCATCGAGAAATCTTTCCGGGATAAAGCTGTCGGCATCTTTCCAGATCTTAGGATCTCTCCCAATGGCCCAAGCATTCACCATAACCCGAGTTTTCGCAGGTAGTTTGTATCCATTAATCTCACAGGCCTCGTAGCTTTCTCTCGGCAGCAGTAGCGGCAGCGGAGGATGCATCCTGAGTGTCTCTTTGATTACTAACTTTAGGTACTTTAGCTCGTCAAATTCGGACTCATCCACAAAGCCCTTGTCGCCGAAAACCTGCCTCACCTCATCCTGCGCCTTCTTAAGAACTCTTGGATGTCTCAACAATTCGGCCATAACCCAATCTGCAGTCGCGGATGATGTTTCGATTCCAGCGTCGAACATGTCCTATTCGCACATGAAGAAGAGTTAGATGAAATAAATGACCGTCTCACCTAAAAGTTTAAGTTGATAAGTATACACATCATTTATTTACAAACGGAAATCAATCAACACGTCCCCTCACGGACAAGGGAGTAAATATCACCAAACAAAACTTGCCCGTAGACAACAACAAATTGGGACAGTGGAACTTGAATTCAAAACTCTGATACCATGTTAGATGAAATAAATGACCGTCTCATCTTATATAAAACTTTAAGCTGATAGGAATACGCATTATTTATTTATTTATTTATCTACAAACGAAAGTCAACCAGCAAAAAGAATCATACTGTAAGAATCTCTCCAAAACATAGTAAAAATCAATCATGGCTTTCAAATTACCTGAAGCACAGCTTTTATGTTGTCATCGGTTAATTGCAGCTCATGTCCGCTGTCCTTATGGAACTTGAGGAGAACATCGGCTAAATCTTCGCGCTCTTTCTTTTGCGAGGCAGCTATTTTGTGATCGTCGAGGATTTTCCCAAGTATTCTATCCGCTAGTTTGTGTCCCTTCTCGACTCGGCCTTTATATCCATTGATTGTTCCAAACCAACTAATCGACGGATACACATCGACTAGAGAAAATCCGGTTGCTAAGTCGCCTCCTTCCTTGACTAGGGAAATGAATGCATTGTGTTCATCGGTCTTGTTGCCGAGGCAAGCTCGCATAACCATGTCGCAAGTCGTCAAGGCAATTTTCTCGGTCAAGTTGATCGTAGATCTTTCTTTTGAAGCTATCCATCGGCAAAGATTCGAAAAATCTTCTTCCCTTATAGGACGGAAAGATTGGACGCGCCTGGCGCTCAGCAGCTCTACTGTGCAAATTTTCCGCAACTGTCTCCAGTATTCACCGTATGGGGCAAATGCTATGTCGGAATGCCCATAACATATTATTTTGGTCGCAAAGAATGATGGCCGATTGGCGAAGGTAATGTCATGTGTATTCAAGACCTCTTTTGCTAGTTCGGGGGATGATATTATTACTGTGCTGATTTGACCCAATTGCAAGTGCATCATTGGCCCATGTTTCGAAGCCAAGTCCGCAAAAATTTGGTGAGCTGGTCGGATGCCAAGAACATTGTACAAGTTTCCGATCACCGGAATCTTTCTCGGCCCCGGCGGAAGACTGCCGGAACTCCGGCGCCGGTTGGAGTGAGAGATTAGTTTACATAAGGTTGTAAGAAATATGAGAGATGAAAGAAGGATATTGAAGGATGGGAAATCAGTATCCATTGATGAATCTTGCAATGTGAGTTTAGAACAAGTTTATGCAAATCGAAACTGTGAATTGTAGAGCTAAAGTTTGTAGTTTAAATTGATGAATTTTCGAAAAAAAAAAAAACGCATAATTCAAATATTAAATTGAAAGAAAAAACACTCAATTGATTTTATTTTTATTTTTATTTTTATATTTGGTGCACTCTGCTCAAGGCTTATAAAACCGTAAAAGCAGAGTTTGTTACTATTTAAGAATAAAATACTATTAGGTGTGTTTGTTTGGTGTTTGGATTTTGAAATGGGATTTGAATACTAAAAATTTTGAATTTGAATAATTGTATGATGTGATATAAATAAGTGTTGATATGACATTTTGAATGTAAAATTAATTTTTAGTATAATATAAAAAATAAAAAATAGGTGTTTATGTGATATTTTTTTGAAAAAAAAATGAAATAAACAGTCAAAATCTAATCCAATCTCCCAAACAAACACACCCTTCGAGTTTTCTGTTTCTTTTGGTTCACTCTGTACTAGGCAAATCTATGGATTCAGAGCTTAGTTTGTAGATTACGAATAAAATAAAGTTTGGATTTTTTTGGTTCATTCTACACCAGGTAAAATACTATTCCCTTTCTCCCACATAATTTGTCTCTATTTTTTATTTTCGTATGTCCCATATAACTTGTCTTTCCTATTTTTAAAAATATAATTATGCACTTTAATCGCATTTTAAATTTTAAATTTTAAATTTTCTTAATTTTAATTATTTTTACTAAATAATAATTATTTCTACTAATACACTTCTTAATTATTTACTAATTATATTTTACCTAAATTCTCGTATCTACAGTAAAATCCCATATTTTCTAGGAATGAACGACTAAAATCGAAACTGTTGATGTGTGTGTGACTGTATAGGTTAGAAAAGAAAATTAAAAAAAAATAAAATAAAACTAGTCAATAATAAATAAATAAATAAATAAAATATGATTAAAGGTTGTCATACTGTTCATTCGGTGCACAACTCACAGGACAAATTTGGCGAACATGTATTCTATAAATATCTTACTTTACAAGTACTGTTTCATCAGCATTGAACAATCCGTCCACGTGACAACATAAAGAAATGTAAATAAATAAATATATAAGTATTTCTCAATTCAAAATATTTTTTTATTATTTTTATTTCATCTTATTTTAAAATATTAATTTTTTATTATAATAAAAATAATTATATATTAATATCAGCATATTTTTAAATATTTTAATTGCATAGATAATTAATTTATAAATAAAGTACAAATTATACTAAAAATACAGTTTTCTCTAATAATAATATTGCATCGGTCTTGACTCTAAATTTCATTTACTTTTTGTTCCTTTTTTTTCATTGATTTCTAAATATTAATTATTATATCAAAATATAATATAAATTAATAAAAATTTGTAAAAATATTCATCAATATCTTATAATACTAATATTTGTAAAAAAACAATTATATAAATATAAAAATATTTTTAATATTAAATACAATAACGCAAAATATAAATATCACCTTAAAAAAACTATGGATGGAGTAATAATTATAAATTAAGTAATTTTCTTATAAAATCGGAAGATGGTAAGATGTCGGTTTCGCATTATATATTGTTTTAGGATTTTATTATTTTATTATTTTATTTTAGTTTTGGGTCTACAGCTTTCATGCATCAAAGATTCAAGGTTATGTTGTCAATCATGTAAGCAAATTCGTGCCCGGAAAGTTATAAGTTCAAATTTTGGATGCTTTCAAGTCTTACTTGATACATACTTTTTCCGTCCAATTTCTATTGTCCTAAAGTATATTTGCACGGTTTTTTAGGTGATTGTCTTTTTGCTATGAATTGACAAATTTGTCGTTAATTATATGGTAGAGATTAAAAGTAATAAATGAATGAAAGGTAAAAATGTAAAATTTGTGTTTAAAAAAGGAAATAGGACAATAGTTGTTGGACGTCCCAAATAGGAAAGTAGGACATTAGTTTATGGACGGAGGGAGTATATTTTGTCTCGTGCGACTTCTCGAACTTAATTGGCAGCTTATTAGGTTGGAAAAAGATGTAACGAAACCTCTTTCATTCAAGAAATCAAACATACAACTAATTAAATAGCCAAAGCATAGAAAATGAAAACATAAGTTTAAAACTTCCCAATTCAAAGTAATAGTTATAAAAAACCATCAAAGACAACAATCTACCATGATTCTTAATGTCTCGACCATTGAAAGCATCGATAATGTACTTCAATTTTATTTTAGAGGCACAGGATTTTTCAATATGGGAATCACATAAAGTGGATGTTTCCTTCTTGCAATGCCAAAGGTTTCAGCCATGTCCAAATCTTCAGGTTCCATTCCATCGGGCAAAACCCAATCAAAGTGATAAAGAAACATCGCCAATGGAAGTTCGATGTTGGCGAGGCCGAAAGTCATTCCCGGGCAAATCCTTCTCCCGGAACCAAAAGGGATAAAATCTAAATTATTCCCTGTGTAATCCACTGATGAAATGTTATCGAGAAATCTCTCCGGTATAAAGCTGTTGCCATCTTTCCAGATCTTAGAATCTCTTCCAATGGCCCAAGCATTCACCATAACTCTAGTTTTTGCAGGTAGTTTGTATCCATTAATCTCACAGGCCTCGTAGTTTTCTCTCGGCATTAGTAGCGGCACCGGCGCATGAATCCTGAATGTCTCTTTGATCACTAACTTAAGGTACTTTAGCTCGTCGAATTCGGACTCATCCACAAATCCCTTGTTTCCGAAAACTCGTCTCACCTCTTCTTGTGCCTTTTTAAGAACTCTTGGATGTCTCATTAGCTCTGCCATAGCCCAATCTGTAGTTGTCGATGATGTTTCAATACCAGCATCAAACATGTCCTATTTGCACAAGAAGATGTCGAGAAATAATCTTCATTTTCAAAAAATAAAAGTCTATGGACTATGTCAAAAATTAATACATTGCATAATAAATGAGTTACAAAATTCAGTCCCAAATAAGAAATTAACCTAGTGTGCAACCTATTAGGTTTGGTCGTAAATTTATCCAATACACACTCAAACAGTAATGGCCGCAACTTTTCATATCATAAAAAATAAAAAAAAATAAAAACCCTAGTATCAAGCCATTAGCTTGTATTTGTCTACGAGAAATTATTTTTTCTTTTTGTATAGAAATAGACTTTAATTTCATTTACAATCATCAATCAATCAAATGTATTTCATTCTAATTTATTTTTCATCTTTGTGTCTTAGTTATTTCTTCACGTTCTTACTCCCTTTTTTTGCCCAACAGAAGAATCATACTGTAAGAATCTCTCAAAAACCTCAAAAACTTCGAACATAGTAAAAATCAAACATGGCTTTGAAAGTACCTGAAGCACAGCTTTTATGTTGTCATCGGTTAATTGCAGCTCATGTCCGCTGTCCTTATGGTACTTGAGGAGAACATCGGCTAAATCTTCGCGCTCTTTCTTTCGGGAGGCGGCTACTTTGTGATCGTCGAGGATTTTCCCGAGTATTCTATCCGCTCGTTTGTGCACCTTCTCGACTCGGCCTTTAAATCCGTTGATTTTTCCAAACCAAGCCATGGATGGATACAAATCGACGATATAAAATCCGGCTGCTAATTCAGCACTTTCCTTGACAATGGATATGAATTGGGCGTGTTCATCGGTCTTATTGCCGAGGCATGCTCGCATAACCGTGTCGCAAGTCGACATGGCGATTTTCTCAGTCAAGTTAACCGAAGATCTTTCTTTCGAAGCTATCCATCGGCAAAGATTCGAAAAATCTTCTTCCCTTATAGGGCGGAAAGATTGTACGCGCCTCGCGCTCAGCAGCTCTACTGTGCAAATTTTTCGCAACTGTCTCCAGTATTCGCCGTATGGAGCAAATGCTATGTCCGAATGGCCGTAACATATAATTTCTGTCGCAAAGAACGACGGCCTATTCGCGAAGGTAATGTCATGCGTCTTCAAGAATTCTTTCGCCACATTGGGTGACGATACAACGACTGTGCTGATTTGACCCAATTGCAAGTGCATCATCGGCCCATGTTTTGAAGCCAAGTCGGCCAAAACCCGGTGGGGTGGCCGGAAACTGATAAGGTTGTGCAAGTTTCCGATCACCGGCAACTTTATCGGCCCCGGCGGAAGATTGGCCGAACTCCGGCGACGTTTGGATTGAGTGATTAAATTCCATAAAGTTGCAAGAAATATGAAAGATGAGAAAAGGATTATCCAGGATGAGAAATCAGTAGCCATTGATGAATAATCTTGACTCAATTTCGAACAATTTGCTGCAAAATTGAAACTGTGAATGCAAGAGATGTAGTATTTATATAAATAACAGAATTTGTTACATTTTTTTTTTTTTTTGATTACACACTGCACGAGATTAATGCATTTTGGAAAATTGTTTCACAGCTGTTCATGCAGGAAAGTATGTGAGCGGTTACAACTCTGTCAAATGCCAGATGTGTATAACTTTTTAGTTTTGTTTTTATCATGAAGTGTTTTAGATAATTTTATAATTATTTTATGGAATAAAGAATAAATATTAATATATTATATTTATTATACAAAAAATTGTGTGGTTTTTTATTAAATAAAAAAAATGTGGGTACTTTTAGGAAACAGATAAAAAATATGAGCATAATTTAAGAGATGATGAAGTAATATAATAAATTGAAAGTACGTATATTTAAGTAATATATGCTTTCATGATTTTATTTTATTTTTTATTATTATGACGCGCAATTCGGAGCCGCTGCTCTTTGAGTATGCTACGGGTAACTTTCGGTCGAACTTAATAATCTGTAAATTAAATTTTGGCAAGACAAGTCATACTAGATCAATCATGTGTAGCATGTAAAAAGCCGTATGAATCATGCTAGGTCCCGGAAATTTGAGACCTTGACCTTAAAGAACTAAGAAGACGTATGAATGTTCCTTTTGTGTTTTGATTTTTGATTCAAATGAAATATTTCTTGGATGTGATATATATATATAGAGTATTTGTATAATTTTATTATTATCTTGCTTCAGTAGTTTTTCTCATTTTAGGTAAAATTTATGTGTTTGTTACTTCTTTTTATTCCTCGATTCAATTTATATTATTCATCAAATTAGTATAATTTTTTTGTTATTTCTTAAACTCACCCGATCATATTATTTTTTCTAATTTTGTTCATTATATATTTGTTCTACGAGTGTGCATGTCATTTTCTGAGACTACTTTCGATGGTCTCGTGTAGGATTTGTTTTTATTGCAATCGAGTAGATCATAAGCCATTGTCTATATTATATTAATCAGAACTAAAAACAAAGATAAAGCTAATATATATATATTTTTCAACAGAATAATTGAACTTATAGTTGTTTCAGCATCAAATAACAAATAAAATATGAAGGCATATGAATGTTATAATTGACCAAAATAAGAACATACAAAAAGCTTTGTCACCTATAGCCACATAAATTACAAATTTAGTTATGTACATATATTCAATATTACAATTATGGTATATATTCCGCGGGTTGTGTTTTTGTTCTATCTATATCATACCCCGAATCTTCGGTGTGCAATTGGATTTAGAGTTGAGAGTTGATTTTGAAGTTTGGAACAGTAAAAATTTATTCGAAATGATATAGAACCCATTTAATTTGATGTTTTGTAGAAAAAAACATTGATGAATAATAGAAACTCACTCGAAAATCTACAACCAAACATGAGTCAAACTTTAATAAATCAAATTGTGAGACATTTTCGCTTGAGGGCAAGATTCCGGGATGTTTTTCATTTATGCTTTTCTTTAGTTTTTCCCTAATTTTACCTAACAATTAATAATAAAGAGGCAAGATCACCAAATGGTAGAATGGCTCAAAGAATTAGGAACAAGATGTAAAGAAAGTTCAATAAATGAAACATACAATTAATTACACAACCAAATCATAGAAAACGAAACAGAAATTAAAAACTTCTTAATTCATTTCAAATAGTACATAAATCTATCATGATTAATTTTTAATGTCTTGAACATGGAAAGGGTCGATAGATTGAACCTCGACTTTATTTGAGAGGCAAAGGGTTTTTCAATATGGGAATTACATAAAGTGGATCTTTCCTTCTTGCTGTAATGCCAAAGGTTTCAGCCATGTCCAAATCTTCAGGCTTCATTCCATCGGGCAAAACCCAATCAAAGTGATAGAGAAACATCGCCAATGGAAGTTCGATGTTGGCCAGGCCGAAAGACATTCCAGGGCAAATCCTTCTCCCAGAACCAAAAGGGATGTAATTAAAATTCTTTCCGGTATAATCGACTGATATGTTATCGAGAAATCTCTCCGGTATAAAGCTGTCGGCATCTTTCCAGATCTTAGGATCTCTTCCAATGGCCCAAGCATTCACCATAACCCGAGTTTTCGCAGGTAGTTTGTATCCATTAATCTCACAGGCCTCGTAGCTTTCTCTCGGCAGCAGTAGCGGCAGCGGAGGATGCATCCTGAGTGTCTCTTTGATCACTAACTTTAGGTACTTTAGCTCATCAAATTCGTTCTCTTCGACAAATCCCTTGTCGCGGAAAACCTGCCTCACCTCATCTTGTGCCTTCTTAAGAACTCTTGGATGTTTAATCAATTCCGCCATAGCCCACCCTGTAGTTGTCGATGATGTTTCGATTCCAGCATCAAACATGTCCTGTTTTTACAAGAAGAATCTTACTATCCAAAGCTTTCCAAAACTCCAAAAACATCGAACATGGTAAAAATCAAAGATGGCTTTGAAAGTACCTGAAGCACAGCTTTTATGTTGTCATCGGTTAATTGAAGCTCATGTCCTCTGTCCTTGTGGAACTTGAGGAGAACATCGGCTAAGTCTTGGCGCTCTTTGTTTCGCGAGCCGGCTACTTTGTGATCGTCAAGGATTTTCCCGAGGATTTTATCCGCTTGTCCGTGCACCTTCTCGACCCGGCCTTTAAATCCGTTGATTGTTCCAAACCAAGCAACGGACGGATACACGTCGACTAGATAAAATCCGGCTGCTAAATCAACAGCTTCCCTGACAAAGGATACGAATTTGGTATTTTCTTCGGTCTTATTTCCGAGGCATGCTCGCATAACCGTGTCGCAAGTCGTCAAGGAAATTTTCTCGGTCAAGTTGATTGTAGACCTTTCTTTCGAAGCTATCCATTCGCAAAGATTAGAAAACTCTTCTTCCCTCAAGGGACGGAAAGATTGGACTTGTCTAGAGCTTAGCAGCTCTATTGTGCAAATTTTTCGCAACTGTCTCCAATATTCGCCATACGGAGCGAATGCTATGTCCGAATGGCCATAACATGATATATTTGTCGCAAAGAACAACGGCCTATTCGCGAAGGTAATGTCGTGCGTTTTCAAGAATTCTTTCGCCACATGGGGTGAAGATACAACGACTGTGCTGATTTGACCCAATTGCAAGTGCATCATTGGCCCATATTCTGCGGCCAAGTCGGCCAAAACCTGGTGGGGTGGCCTGAAACGGATAAGGTTGTGCAAGTTACCGATTACCGGCAATTTTCTTGGCCCCGGCGGAAGAATGGCCGAACTCCGGCGGCGTTTGGATCCGATGATTAAATTCCGAATAGTTGCAAGAATTATGAAAGTTGAGAAAAGGATGATCCAGGATGAGAAATCAGTAGCCATTAATGAATCTTTCTGTGTTTGTTTATGTTATGTCAAATGCGGAATAGATCGAGAATTTTATTAACGAAAACCGAGTGAAAACATAAATCTTATACTAGTTTTGGTTAGGCTCAGGCTCAGCCCCTAACCACTCATAACAGTAAATCGACACACAAAATGCACCTACTAGCGACTACACACTTTAAACCGGCCCGAAACACGCAACTCAAGCACAAATCAACCCCCACAATCACATACAAGGCGAAACAAGCAAAATTACAAACGCCTACAAGTCGAACGAGCCCTTTGCGGCTACGATCAACAACCAGAGGTGAAACACCACGCCAAAGAACCTCCACAAGAGGTGCCACCGAGAATCGCCGTGAAACCGTCGGAAACAGTCACCGGGAGGGCTAACAGAAAGGTCGAGAGGTAAAGAGAGGGGAGAGCTAGAGAGGGAAAGTTGTATAGAGAGAGAAACGTGAGTGAGTGGAATAAGAGAAATCCCTCTCTCTCTCATTATATATATTCATCTCAATTAAGCAACGGACGGACCAGATCAAGATCCACAATCAGACGGCCAAAATTAAGGCTAGGGAAAAAGACGCGCATCCAAGAAGGATGCGGTCATGGATCGCGGGTCCAGGTTCAGGTTGCGGGTCCAAGCGGCTCTGGTGGCGGGTGCGGGTCGTGGGTCAGGGCCAAGTCTAAAATGGACTGCATAGCGGGTGTGTATCTTATTGGGTGGATCTAATTGGATAAAAAAATCCAACAGTATAAAACAATTTGAAGCAAATCTGAATTGTTAAAGCAGAGCTGTAGTGTTAATAATGAAATATACATATATTTAGGGTGTTTTCTTTGGCAAAATTTTAGGATTTATATTATTCATAAAAAATTAAAAAAAAATTCCATAAAAATATAAATTAAATACTTATTTTTTAATATTTATATAGTCGTTAAAACTTATTTATTTTATTATATAATTATTTTAATTTAAAATTTTTATTGTTTAAATTTCCACTTGAGATTAGAATTTTCTTTTTCTTCTGATTTGACTCTGAACGAGGCTGATTCATTTGTACAACTGACCACAACTATTCATTTTAAAATGTAGGCAGTTACAGCATGCCATTTTTTAAAAAATAATGAACTGTTTCAAATATTTTTATGGGGTAATATTTAATTTAGAAATATATATGAGAGAAGGAAAAAAAAAAACGTTTTATTTTTCAATCTCAAGTGAAATTATTAATCAAATATTAATAACAAAATCTTTTTAATGTTTTAAATAAATTATAAATATATATACACTTACACAAAGTACAAAAAGCTAAAAATATATAAAACCTGACCTTCATATTTATTGTCTAATATTTGTTCCATAATTATTTCTTGTATGATTGTTCTTATCATTTTTCTAGAGTATTCACTACCAAAAAATTATTTTTTTACTATGCTATAATATCCTAATAAACGGTCATTTTTCGTGTAAAATACATATTTTTGTCGCCTTTGTTATTTATTTTTCCCATAATATTTATTCGCGACGCAAAAAAAAAAAAAATTGCGAGCCATTTTTTTTCAACAAAAAAGTTGAATCAAAGTACTTTGATGCTGTTGAGCAGGATTTGTTTTTATTGCAATTGATTAAATAGCTCATAAGTCATTGTCAATATAATATTAATCAGAACTGAAAAAGATTATTGTAGTTTTTAACATATTTTATTTAACTTAGTGTAAACATCAACTAGCTAATAAAATTCGCAGGCACGAATTAATGTCAACGCATTGACAAAAACAATAAAATACGTCAAATTTTGTCCTTTTATTGCACTGAAATTACAAATTTATATTGCAGAAACTTTTTTTAAAAAAAAAAAAAAAACACTTTCATGAGTCAAACTCTTGTAAATCGAGAGACATCCTTCGCTTGAGAGTAAAGATCCCGGACTTGATCCCGGTGAATGCCTGTGTTTGTGGGGTAAAAATAAAAAACGTCTTGCTTTCATTTATGCGTTTCTTTAGTTTTTCCTAATTTTACCTAACAATAATGAAGAGGCAAGATCTCCAAATGGTAGAATGGCTCAAAGAAGTAGGAACAAGATGTAATGAAAGTTCAATAAATTAAATAGCCAAAGCATAGAAAACGAAACAGAAATTAAAAACTTCTTAATTCATTTCAAATAGTACATAAATCTGTCATGATTAATTTTTACTGTCTTAGAACATGGAAAGGGTCGATAGATTGAACCTCAATTTTATTTATGAGGCAAAGGATTTTTCAATATGGGAATAACAAAAAGTGGATCTTTCCTTCTTGCTGTAATGCCAAAGGTTTCAGCCATGTCCAAATCTGCAGGTTTCATTCCATCAGGCAAAATCCAATCAAAGTGATAGAGAAACATTGCCAATGGAAGTTCGATGTTGGTGAGGCCGAAAGTCATTCCAGGACAAATCCTTCTTCCGGAACCGAAAGGGATGTACTCTAGATTCTTCCCAGTGTAATCAACTGAAATGTTTTCGAGATATCTCTCTGGTATAAAGCTTTCGGCATCTTTCCAGATTTTAAGATCTCTTCCAATGGCCCAAGCATTCACCAAAACCCTAGTTTTTGCAGGTAGTTTGTATCCATTAATCTCACAGGCCTCGTAGTTTTCTCTCGGGAGAAGCAGCGGCACTGGCGGATGAATCCTCAGTGTCTCTTTAATCACTAACTTCAGATATTTTAGCTTATCGAATTCGGACTCATCAACAAATCCCTTGTTGCCAAATACCTGCCTCACCTCATCTTGTGCCTTCTTAAGAACTCTTGGATGTTTAATCAATTCAGCCATAGCCCACTCTGTAGTTGTCGATGATGTTTCGATTCCAGCATCAAACATGTCCTGCTTTTACAAGAATAATCTTACAATCCAAATCTCCAAAAATATGGAACTAGAGATGGGAATAGGTCAGACGCCCTATCACCGGAGTGGCTTACATAAGGTCTGGTTTAGCCTGATCTGTTTACTTCAAAATATTAAATTCAGATATATTTTTAAGCTTATTTAACCAAAGTCTGGTCTCGCTCTTACATGTAACATGGTAAAAATCAAACATGCATGGCTTTAAAAGTACCTGAAGCACAGCTTTTATGTTGTCATCGGTTAATTGAAGCTCATGTCCGCTGTCCTTATGGTACTTGAGGAGAACATCGGCTAAGTCTTCGCGTTGTTTGTTTTGCGAGCCGGCTACTTTGTGATCCTCGAGGATTTTCCCGAGGATTTTATCCGCTTGTCCGTGCACCTTCTCAACTCGGCCTTTAAATCCGTTGATTGTTCCAAACCAAGCAAGGGACGGATACACATCGACTAGATAAAATCCAGCTGCTAAGTCGGCACCTTCCTTGACTAAGGATATGAATTTGGTATGTTCTTCCGTCTTATTGCCGAGGCATGCTCGCATAACCATGTCACAAGTCGTCAAGACAATTTTCTCAGTCAAGTTGATCGTAGACCTTTCTTTCGAAGCTATCCATCCGCAAAGATTCGAAAACTCTTCTTCCCTCAAGGGACGGAAAGATTGGACTTGCTTAGAGCTTAGCAGCTCTACTGTGCAAATTTTTCGCAACTGTCTCCAATATTCGCCATAGGGAGCAAATGCTATGTCCGAATGGCCGTAACATGTTATACTTGTCGCAAAGAATGATGGCCTATTTGCGAAGGTAATATCGTGCGTCTTCAAGAATTCTCTCGCCACGTCGGGTGAAGATACAACAACTGCGCTGATTTGACCCAATTGCAAGTGCATCATCGGGCCATGTTTCGAAGCCAAGTCGGCCAGAACCCGGTGGGCTGGCCGGAGACTCATAAGGTTGTGCAAGTTTCCGATTACCGGCAGCTTTCTTGGCCCCGGCGGAAGGATGGCCGAACTCCGGCGGCGTTTGGATCCGATGATTAAATTCCAAATGGTTGCAAGAAATATGAAAGATGAGAAAAGGATTATCCACGATGAGAAATCAGTAGCCATTGATTCGAGTCTTGCACTGTAAGTTTAGGACAGTTTGCTGCAAATCTGAATTGTGAAAGCAGAGCTGTAGTTTGTTGATGAATAACAAAATGGTGTATATATACAATTATAGTGCAAATTTATTATAGAATAGTTCAGTTTTATATTCAAAATATCGTATCACTGCTTATTTATACTTTCTCCATTTGAAAATAATAGAAACATTGAGATGAATATAAAAATTAAGAAATATTAATATTAGTGTGAAATTATTTCTAAAGATCAAAATGTCATTATATATTACTATAAAAAAATATGGGTAATTTTGTAAAAGTTCATAAAGTTAATTACCAAAAAAAAATATGATCATTATTTTGAGACGGAAGAAAATAACAATATGAAAATATTATTTTGATGACAGAGAAAATATTATATTATAAAAATATTTTAATCAAAATTTTTATTATTTAAATTTCGACGTAAAAAAATTCTTAAAATTTCTTTTTTCTTCTGTTTTCACTCTAAACGAAGTTGATTCAGTGCCACAAGGGATGACCTGATAGTATGTGGGAGTTGGATTTGTAAATATTTTTATATAGTAATATTTAATTTAGAAATATATATGAAAAAAAAAAAAACTAAATGCTATATTTTTTCGATCTCAAGTGAAAATATTAATCAAATATTAATATTAAAATATTTTAATTTTTTTAAAAAATTATAAAGATATTATTACATATATATTTATATTTACAGAAAGTACAAATAGGGATGTCAACGGGGCGGGTTCGGGACGGGTTCTGCAGGCCTCGAGACCCGCCCCGCTAGAAAATATTAGGCTCCGAGACCCGCTCCGCCCCGCTTCCACCCGGCCCCAGGACCCGCAGGCCAACCCGGCAAATCCGTTTTTTTTAAAAATATATAATAATAAATATTTTTTTGACAATCGAATACTAAAACAAATAGCATTAAAAACACAAAAACAAATCTAAAAACAATCAAATATTGATCCATAAAAATAAGATAAATAAATAAATAATATATTTTTATTATATAAATATAGACATATTAGGTATAATAATTTTAAAAAATTATTTGAGCAGGCGACTAATTCAATTTTATATTTAAAATTATTTAAGTAAATAAATAATATATTTTTATCATATAAATGTACATATATATTAGTAATAATAATTTTAAAAAATATCCGAGTTCGGGTCCGGGTCCGGGTTGGGGCGGATTTTTAGTAAAACCCGTAACCCGCCCCAAACCCGGCCGAGTTTAAAATTTTAAATTCACAACCCGTCCCGAAACATATTATTTAGACCCGAACCCACCCCATTAAAAGCGGGTCCGGGGCGGGTAGGGCTAACCCGCCCCATTTGACATTCCTAAGTACAAAAGCTAAAAATATGAAAAAACATCTTACACACCTTCATATTTATTGTCTTTGTTATTTATTTTTTTACGTAACATGTATTTGTGACGCAAAAAAACATAGTTTTGCTGAGCCATTTTTTTTTAACAAAAACGTTGGATCAAAGTACTTTGATGCTCTTGAGCAGGATTTGTTTTTATTGCAATTGATTAATTAGTTCATATGTCATTGTCAATATTATATTAATCAGAACTGAAAAAGATTATCATAGTTTTTAACACAACTAGCGAATAAAATATGCAGGCATGAATTAATGTCAAGGTATTGACAAAAATAATAACAATCGTGAAACTTTGTCCATTATTGCAGTGAAATTACAAATTTATATTGCGGAAATAAATAAAAAATAAAAAAATACAAAACATTTGGTGATCCACTTCAACAGTTCGGTTAAAATATCTACGTCTGGGGACTGTCAAATATGTTGGATTCCAAAAACATATTCAACATTTAAAATCGACAATAAACCCAATCCATACCATCTGGGTTTGGGAATGTTGTCCCAACCTTAGAAACTAGAAATCGCATACGTTAAATATTTATATTATTTGCAATATTTGATTAATTTTAATCTGATTCTATTTGATTTGTATATATATATTGTTTATTTATGATTGTCAAAAGATAATTGATAAAAAAACACAATTATTACAAAATTAAGGTAAAAAAAAAGAGGGGGCCACTTTTCATACATCCGGAAGAGAATACACTGCAGAACGTCCTAGGTAGAAATCGTGGATAGCCACAAAAAAAAAAAAAAATGATTCTTCTAAAAAGATTTCAATTTCTTTCCTTCAATCCGATTAATTATAGGCGGTGTTTATTTTTTTCTATTTTTGTTCTTCCTCTTATGATTAATGAGTAGTTCGTAATTGCATTTTAATTTGGTTTAGCTAGCAACTAGCAACAGGCATCACTAGAAAATCACGAAATCAATTTTCAACCGTTTGGCATATGTAATTCTTAAATTGAATTAGACTTTTCTAGTTCGCAAAGCAGTTAAGTTAGTAAATTATTTTGCGGCGTCACTAGAAATCTAGTCTAATTACGGAAATAGTTAATGATCGTACCTTGATTGTCGAAAAACTAAGAAATAGTTGATTATTAGGCGTATGTCGTTAACTAGAACTAATTTATTTAAAAATCAATGAAATTAAATATTTATCGATGATCGAATCTACTATCTAAATTGTCAGTTTCATTCCTAGACTGAAAATTTATTTTTATTGAGTTTATTTTTTAGTGGTAGATTTTTTATTTAGTATTATTTTTATTTTCAACTCCAAAACCCTCTATTTTATTATATCTAAATTAAACATCCGAAAATAAAATCTTTTTTATTTTCTGAGGAGATGATCCCACTTCAATTATCCTACATTTATCTTCATCATGAAAATAAGTTTATTAATTTTAAATTTTGCAGTATGCAACCAACGCGGTCAAATCTCCACTGGGGACTACGCTACACCCCTGGGCCACATACACTTCAGCTAAGTCACAATCAAATTCAAATTGTTTCTAATTTGAGCTTAACAACAGATTAATTTACTCTCATACTTGAGATAAGTTATTATAATTATCATATATATTTCGTCTATTGTTCTTTGCTTCTAATATATGAACTCTAAATCTTGGGTATGTAATTGGATCTAGGGTTGAGAGTTAATTTAGAGTTTGGAACAATAAAATTTATTCGATATGATATAGACACCCATTTAATATGATGTTTTATAGAAATAAAAAATAAATAAATAAATAATAATGAATAATAGGAACCCACTCAAAAATCTACAACCAAACACTGTCTTGAGTCAAATTCTTGTAAATCGAGAGACATCCTTTGTTTGGGGGTAAAGATCCCGCACTTGATCCCGGGTGAATGCCTGTGTTTGTGGGTTAAAAGAAAAACAAAAAGGCCTTGTTTTTCATTCATGCTTTTCTTTAGTTCTTCCTAATTTTACCTAAGAATAATAGAGGCAAGATCTCCATATTGTAGAATGGCTCAAAGAAGTAGGAACAAGATGTAATGAAAGTTCAATAAATGGAACATACAATAAATTAAATAGCCAAAGCATAGAAAACTTAACAGAAATTAAAAACTTCTTAATTCCTTGCAAATAGTACATAAATCTATCATGATTAATTTTTAATGTCTTGAACATGGAAAGGGTCGATAGATTGAACCTCGATTTTATTTGAGAGACAAAGGGTTTTTCAATATGGGAATTACATAAAGTGGATCTTTCCTTCTAGCTGTAATGCCAAACGTTTCAGCCATGTCCACATTTTCAGGTTTCATTCCTTCAGGCAAAACCCAATCAAAGTGATAAAGAAACATTGCCAATGGAAGTTCGATATTGGCCAGGCCAAAAGACATTCCAGGGCAAATCCTTCTCCCAGAACCAAAAGGGATGTAATTAAAATTCTTTCCAGTATAATCGACTGATATGTCATCGAGAAATCTCTCCGGTATAAAGCTGTCTGCATCTTTCCAGATCTTAGGATCTCTTCCAATGGCCCAAGCATTTACCAAAACCCGAGTTTTTGCAGGTAGTTTGTATCCATTAATCTCACAGGCCTCATAGTTTTCTCTCGGGAGAAGCAGCGGCACCGGGGGATGTATCCTGAGTGTCTCTTTGATCACTAACTTCAGATACTTTAGCTTATCGAATTCGGACTCATCGACAAATCCCTTCTCGCCGAAAACCTGCCTTACCTCATCTTGTGCCTTCTTAAGAACTCTTGGATGTTTAATCAATTCCGCCATAGCCCACTCTGTAGTTGTCGATGACGTTTCGATTCCAGCATCAAACATTTCCTGTTTTTACAAGAAGAATCTTACTATTAAAAAATATGGAACTAGGAGTGGAAATAGGTCACGCGTCTATAAGGGGCCTACAGCCTGCAGGCCTATGTAAAGCCTGGTTTGATCTGACCTGTTTACTAAAAATATTAAATTCAGGCGTATTTTTAAGTCTATTTTGCCAAAGTCTAGCCTAACTTATTTCCACCCCTATATGAAACATGGTAAAAATCAAACACGGCTTTGAAAGTACCTGAAGCACAGCTTTTATGTTGTCATCGGTTAATTGCAGCTCATGTCCGCTGTCCTTATGGAACTTGAGGAGAACATCGGCTAAGTCTTGGCGTTGTTTGTTTTGTGAGCCGGCTACTTTGTGATCCTCGAGGATTTTCCCAAGGATTTTATCCGCTTGTCTGTGCACCTTCTCGACCCGGGCTTTAAATCCGTTGATTGTTCCAAACCAAGCAAAGGATGGATACACGTCCACTAGATAAAATCCGGCTGCTATATCGACACCTTCCTTGACTAAGGATACAAATTTGGTATGTTCTTCGGTCTTATTTCCGAGGCATGCTCGCATTACCATGTCGCAAGTCGTCAAGGAAATTTTCTCAGTCAAGTTGATCGTAGACCTTTCTTTCGAAGCTATCCATTCGCAAAGATTTGAAAACTCTTCCTCCCTCAGGGGACGGAAAGATTGGACTTGCCTAGAGCTTAGCAGCTCTACTGTGCAAATTTTCCGCAACTGTCTCCAATATTCGCCATACGGAGCGAATGCTATGTCCGAATTGCCGTAACATGTTATATTTGTCGCAAACAACGACGGCCTATTCGCAAAGGTAATGTCGTGCATCTTCAAGAATTCTTTCGCCACATCGGGTGACGACACAACGACTGTGCTGATTTGACCCAATTGCAAGTGCATCATCGGCCCATGTTTCGAAGCCAAGTTGGCCAAAACCCGGTGAGTTGGCCGGAAACTGATAAGGTTGTGCAAGTTTCCGATCACCGGCAACTTTCTTGGCCCCGGCGGAAGGATGGCCGAACTCCGGCGGCGTTTGGATCCGGTGATTAAATTCCAAATAGTTACAAGAAATATGAAAGATGAGAAAAGGATGATCCAGGATGAGAATTCAGTAGCCATTGATGAATCTTGTCAGTGTTTGTTTAGAACAATTTGATGCAAACCTGAATTGTGAAAGCAGGCCTGTAGTTTGTAGATAAATCACAAAATATATAGAGAGAGTTAGGGTGTGCTATTTTGAAAATATTCAGGATTTATTATTTATTATTTTATTTTTTTTAATATCAAATCAAATCTTTCTTCTATTTTTTTTTTTTTTAGCTCTTTAGTTCCAAATCAAAGGACCTTTGGGATTTTTAGAAGAAATGTATAAAAGTTTCTGAATAAAAATTAACTGTATTTTTTGTATTAATGTATAATTAATTTCTTTAAAATGAGAAAAATGATACTTAAATGTGAAACATTAAAATAATATTTTGAATTAGAATTGAGTAAGTATTATACTATAATAATTTCAATTTTATATTCAAAATATTATATCAAAATTTATTTATACAATACCATATATTAATTCAAATTTATTTACTATTTAAATTTAAATTAAAAAGCCGTAGGCTTTTCTTTTTCTTCTGATTTTCACTTTGTACAAGGCTGATTCATTAGACAATTGTCCACAACTATTCATGGTTTAAAATGTAGGCAGTTACAACTGTCACATGCCATTTTTTAAAAAAAATAATGAAGTGTTTTAAATATTTTTATGTGGTAATATTTAATTCATAAATATATATGAAAGAAAAAAGAAGATAAATGTTAGTACTATATTTTTTACATCTCAACTGAAAGTACTAATCAAATATTAATTTCAAAATGTTTCGTAATTTTTAAATAAATTTCAAACATATTATTACAGACTTACGCAAATTACAAAAGTTAAAAATATACAAAATATCTTCCACACCTCCATATTTATTGTCTAATATTTGTTCCATATTTATTTCTTCTATGTATGACTATTCTTATCATTTTTCTAGAGTATTCACTCTAAAAAAAATTAGTTTTTCACTATGCTTGAATATCCTAATAAATGGTCTTTTTTCGTGTAAAATACATATTTTTTTGCCGCCTTAGTTATTTATTTTTTCCGTAATATGTATTCGTGACGCAAAAAATAAAATAAAATAAAATTTGCCGAGCCATTTTTTTAACCAAAAAAATTGGATCAAAGTACTTTGATGCTCTTGAGCAGGATTTGTTTTTATTGCAATTGATTAATTAGTTCATATGTCATTGTCAATATTATATTAATCAGAACTGAAAAAGATTATCATGGTTTTTAACATCAACTAGCAAATAAAATATGCTGGCATGAATTAGTGTCAACGTATTGACAAAAATAATAACATATGTGAAACTTTGTCCATTATCGTAGTGTTGAGGATTTCTTTTTGCGGATATACGATTAATAACTGCGTTTTCCTAACAGTTCGAGCCTTTAGGTGAGACAGTCATTCTGTATCCGATATGCATGTGCCAGTTTCGCAATACATCAATTTACTCTTATACGAAAATTTAGGAAACGTATGATTAATAAATATTATTTTAGTAAAATTAATTATAATATAATAACAATAATTATAAATTAAAAAAATTAATTAGTTTAATAAAAAAATTAAAAAAATTATAAATTTATAGAATTTCAAATGTGATTAAAATGTATAATTCTTTTCTAAAAAATAAAAAAATACATAAGAAGTGAGACGGACAAAAATAAAAAATATAACATAAGATGGAGGGAATATTAAATATGGTATAAGTATATTTTTTATCGACAAATTAAAATATGATCAAATGAGTATATTTTTTTTACAAGATGAGATAGTATTATTTGTACCAATACTTTAACATTCATGCCTGTAGACTTTATTTGTTATTTGATACTCCCCCGTCCTCTAATTGTCTACTCATTTGACCGGACACAGATTTTAAAAAAAATATATAAAAATAGAAATTTTTACTTTTTTTTTTCTATAAAGAAAAATAATATTTTTTTACTAAAAAGGAAACCGAAAATAAATTTGAATGAAAAAAAAAAATGAAAATAGATTTGGACAGAGTATTAAATTAAATTATAAATTTAATCACTTTGTTAAAACTATATTATATTTATATTTGTTTTCAGTTCTTAATAATAATTTAGACAAGGACTTATGATGTACTCTATTGCAATAAAAACAAATCCTATTCAAGAGCATCAAAGTTCTCTCAGAAAATGATAAAAACACTATGGTTTGTTTGTTATGTGTTTTGGTTCGAAGAGAAATTTTTTTGTGATATACAGATAATTGTGTAAATAATATTTTTATTTCTAATTAAATACAAATAAAATAAAATTAATATATTACTCTATTTGTTTAGCATATATTGTCCGCGTTAACATAAATACGAGAATTTAGTACAATTAACAACTAATTAAAAAATATATTAGTAATAATAATAATTTTAAAAAATAATTATAAATTAAAATTAATATAACTAAATAATTTAATTAAAATTAAAAAAAATTATAATTAAAATATATAATCATATTAAAAAAATTTATATAAAATTAATCAAAATAAAAAAAAATATTTTATATAAGTCAGAGGAGTATTATAATAATAAAAATAACAATGATTACATTGAAATTGGCATCATTATTTTTTCAATAAATGGTAAATTATATAATACCCATTATCTTTTAAGTAAAAATATCTAAAATACCATGTGTTTTATTTATTACGTAAATCGTCTTGTGTAAATGTAAAATTCGTACGAAATAATTTTTTCGTTCAAAATTGATATTTGATGGTAAATATGAACTCAATAATTATAAATAGTTTAAGATTAAGATTAAGATAAATAAATAGTTTCATTAAGATTAAAAAATTATAAAATTTAAAATGTGAGTGAAGTGTATAATCATTTTTCCAAAAAAAAAAAAAAAGAAAAATTATGTGGGACAGACGAAAATAGAAAATATGAACAAATTACGTGGGACGGAAAAGAATATTAAATAATTTTTTTGAATAAAATAAATAAATAAATGATAAATCCCTCATTTTGTAATTTTTGAAGATAAATTGTTATCTGAATTTTAAAAAAAAATTATAAAAATAAATTATTGATCTGTTTTTTTTAATTTAAAAAATTATTTAAGATATTTTATGTTTTCTATTTGTATAAAACTTGTACTCCCTCCGTCCTAAACATCATATAACATTTCTTTGTATATTTGTCCCAAACTAACGGCAACATTTTCAAATTTAGAAATAATTAATTATATTTATTAGTATATATTAATTAATATACATTTCACTTTATTCGATTACATTACTCAAATAAAAAATAATAATAATAATAATTTATCTCTCCAATCATATCACTTAATTTTCAAATTATCATACTTAATACTACTCACTTAAATTCTCGTGCCGAACACAAATGTTGCACGTTATATGAGACGGAGAGAGTATAATTTAGATCTTTATTTGGAATCAAACATCAAATTTGAAAAAAATAGTATTGCGTACAAATTTTTACATTAACTAAGAGGATTTCACGAAATAATAAAATATATGATATTTTATGCAGTTATACTTAAAAGTGCAAAGGACGAAGTATTATACTCCCTCCGTTCTAGGTAATTTGAGTGTGTTACCGTAGACACTGAAATTTAGGTAAAGTATCATTAGTAAGTAATTAAAAAGTATATTAGTAAAAATAATTATTGTATAGTAAAAATAATTATAAATTAAGATTAATACTCCCTCTGTCCCTTAACAATCTATCCATTTTTTCATAAAGTATCTGTTTCCTTTTTTAGTAATTGTACTATCTATCTAATATTAAAAATACCCTTCTAATTTACAATATATTACACAAATGTCATTACCTTTATATCATACAATACTAATAGGGTTAATTTAGTCCTTTTACTTTTATTTCTACTTTATCTCAATATAATACTAATATTTTTAAAACTCCGTGTAAAAAGTAAATGGATATATAGAATATGGACGAAGGGATTATAATTAAATATTTTAATTTAGATTTAAAAAAATTATAAAATTTAAATTTTAAAATTTAATTAAAATGTATAATTATATTTTCTAAGAAAAATGATAAGTTATATGAGACGGGCGAAAATAAAAAATAGGTACAAATTATATGAGAAGGAAAAAATATAATTTATCATGTAATAAAAGACAAAATAAATGATTATGACACGTAGAAGAACGAACCACAAAACAGCCTGTGCATGACGTTAAGGATTCAAGCGGTGCCTCTATTAAATTGGATTTAATTTATAAAAATAGTTATGTTATTAAAAAAATAATAATAATAATAAAATAAATAAATGTGATATTATTGTACATATGCTAAATTATAAAACTTGGTTTATTTGGTTTTTGAAGTGATAATTTAAATTTGATTTTATAAATCGTAACTTAATATGATATTTTATAAGGATTATATTTATTTTTTGCGTACTTAACATTAAAATATTTTTATATTTGTATATTTTTTTATACAAATATTCTTTTTATTTGTATTATACGATATTAATAAAAATATTTTTGTAATTTTTTTTAATTTTGTATTATATTTTGATATAATAATTAATATTCTTGTATCAACAACAAAAAGTAAACGAAGCCCTTTAAGCCGGACAGATATAGTATTTTTTGTTGACTAATTGATATTTTATAAGTGAATGATGTATATTATATGAATGTCTGTGTATATTTGTATTTTTTAATAATATTTTTTATGGGAAATTGTTACATTCAGTATTTAACTATTTATTTTTTTGATGTAATTTTTTTTTTAATTGGTTATATTTTGATGGATTTTTTATAATTTTATTATATTTTTTATTTGAAATAATTTTCTAACTTTTGTTAAAAAGTTCAAAAAAAAGAATAGAATAGATATAAATAAAAAAAAATAACATTACAAATATCTTAAATTAAAAATAATAACAAAAATTTTGAATAGATATGTTCGAATGCGTTTTTGGGTGAAATTCGACAACATGAAAGACCTTATTTATTATTTTCGAATGTGCATTCTGGATAAACTTCATTCACCGTCGGATATGTTTCTTTAGCAATATTTTCCCAAATTTTATTATTTGAACTCTGCGTTTACCAAAAAATATATTTTTTCATCTCACCAAATTTTCCATCAAATATTATTTTCATATCAAACTCAAACCATATTTTTTTCAAACTCATAAAAAAAAAAAACATTATATATAGAATTTATTTTAAGAAAATAAATTTTATATATAATTCCAAAATCCTCAGTCAAGTCTCAAGACTCACAGTCTCACACAGCTTTGAACTTCTCAAATTTATGCCAACTCATAAATCATTTTTTATTTTCATAAAATATTTAGTTTATGTCTTATATATTATATTAATAAACAAGTACCCATGAAAAATAAAATTTATAAAATAATAAAAAAAATTAAATATTAATTTGTAACAATATTATAGCATACAACTCACTTGTAAAATTTGTCTTTTAAGTCAAATGGCATCTTCTTTAATTCGGATTCGCTTTAGAAGATCTGTAAGTGAAAAATAAAAATAAAAAAAATTAGAATTTTAAAATCTACTCTTTTTTTTTTTTCGCCCTAATTTAAGATACTATTTTTTTTTCGTATGTTTTATTTAAAAATATTTATTTTTAATTATAATAAAAATATTTTTGTATGAATACTAAAATATTTTTTATTTTTATAAAAATATCAAAAATATTTTACACTATTCAAATACTACTTCCGTCCCAATACAATATTGTTTACCATTTTTGTCCATCCCAAAGACAATAATCTTATTTTCATGAATAACCATATCACCGTAAAACTACCTCTACTTTTCCATTTTTATTACACAATTGTCACTACTTTTTACACTAATATACTAGAAAAGACAAAAAAGTCTTTTATCTGTATTTTTTACCGACTATCAATATAATATATATATATATATTTGTTAAATTTCGTATCCAACCTAATTAAAACTATAGCTGTGAGCGGGAGGAAATAATTTTTTTAGACCAAAATTCACAAGTCTCCATAAAAGACAAATTAAGGCCTCGACAAATCAAATACAATTGTCATCCCTATCTAAATATTACTACTATTCATCATTGTATATGCAAATCCACCTACTACAAAAGTAAAAAATAAAAAATTAATTCTCCATCGGCTACATCTGCTAAACATTCAACACTTCAATTCAGAACACTTTGTATTCTTGAATCTTGATGGCTATGGATCTATCATATTTCCCTTTCCTTTTTTCACTCTTCCTCTTCATAACATCCCTTTTATTCATAACCAATTATCCGAAATCCGAACAAAAAAATCTTCCCCCGGGGCCGCGAAAGCTCCCGGCCATCGGGAACTTGCACCATTTCTTCACTTCTTTAGCTCCTCATCGTGTCCTAGCCAACTTATCCGCGAAATACGGCGCATTGATGCATTTGCGACTCGGCGAAGTGTCCACATTTGTGATATCCTCGCCGGAATTCGCAAAAGAAATAATGAAAATTCACGACATCAATTTCGCCAATAGGCCATCGTTCTTTGCATCCGAGATTATTTTTTACAATAATTCGGACATAGGAACCGCCCCATACGGCGAGTACTGGAGACAGCTTCGGAAAATTTGCACGCTCGAGCTCTTGAGCGCGAAACGTGTTCAATTTTTTCAACCCTTAAGGGGAAAAGAATTCGCGAATATGTGCCAATTTATAGCTTCTAATGAAGGCTCCGGGATCGACTTGACTGGAAGAGTTGAGTTAACTATGTGCGACATTTTTACGCAAGCGGCTATTGGGAAAAAGACCGACAAACAAGATGTCCTAATATCCTCGATCAAAGAAGCTGTCGATCTTGGAGCCGGATTGTCTCTCGCCGATGTGTATCCTTCGATAAAAATGCTTAGATATATAGGTGGAATGAAAGGCAAGCTTGAGAGGCTCCACAAAATAATCGACGACATACTTGAAGACATCATCGGCGATCACAAAAGGCGCGGCGACGAATGCAAACATCGCGAGGTAGACTTGCTCGATGTCCTCTTGAAGTTTAATGAATCCGGACACGAGCTGTTTTTAACTATCGAGAACATAAAAGCCGTGATCTTGGTGAGTTTAGCTTTAAATTTTCGTGGAACATGTTGTTTCATTATTTTTTATGCAGTAACCATAGATTGGAAATAACACAAAAAAGATTACCATTTCTAAGATTTTGCCGTCACTTTGAAGATATTAACTAACTATTGCCAAAAAATTTCAATTTTTTTTTTTTTAATATCATATTTTTGTATGTGTTTGTGCTCGAAATTGGATGAAATTTGCACAGTTCATCGAGAAAAGCCTCACAAGTCAAAGTCATCGTTTCGTCATAATAAGCGATGTTTTTCTTTTTGGCTATTCGAGATCGTTTAGGGCTTTGAATTAGGCTTTTCTGCCTTCCGAGTTCTCTTTTAGATATCTTTGTAATTATTCTTATGCTGGGTTTATTTTAGGTTTTAGATTTTCGACTCTTTGTGTACATATGTTTTTATCGTGTTAAATGATTATCTCATTTAAAAAGAATTATTGTATTTAAAGTTTTTAGGTGAAAGATCATTTAGTATGATATCAGAGTCGAAATATAATGTGTTCGAGTCTCTGTATCGCCCTCCATATATTCGTCATCGTTCACCTGCAAGAGTAAATTCACGTTGCATGTGAGGGGGTGTATTGATTGACTATATAATAATTAATAATACCTATGCCTAGCATGATCATTTACCATGGTATTTATTTTGAAAAACATACCATTTAAAATTTAAATTTTTAGATAAGATGGTCATTCAACCGTTTTTGCTGAATAAAATATTTTTGATCTTTGATCGATAATTATTCTCATCAATTTGGATTATTTTTTATTTTTCAACTTTTGATCAAACAGGATGTGTTCACGGCTGGGATTGAAACATCGTCGACAACCGTAGATTGGGCAATGGCAGAATTGTTGAGACACCCCAAAGCCCTCCATGAGGCACAAGAAGAGGTGAGACGTGTTTTCGAGGGTAAAGGATTCGCGGATGAGTCGAACTTCGATCAACTAAAGTACCTCGAGTTAGTCATCAAAGAGACTCTCCGGATGCATCCACCGGTACCTCTATTAATCCCGAGAGAAAACCTCGAGGCATGTGAGATTAATGGTTACAAAGTGGCCGCAAAAACCAGGATTATCGTGAATGCTTGGGCCATCGGAAGAGATCTTACAAAATGGAAAGATCCCGAGAGCTTTGTGCCCGAGAGATTTCTTGATGTCGCCGTTGATTATAAGGGAAATCATTTCGAATTCATCCCTTTTGGCGCGGGAAGAAGAATGTGTCCCGGAATGACATTTGGCCTTGCACATGTGGTTCTACCATTGGCAATGCTTCTTTATCACTTCGATTGGGATGTACGTGGAAATATCGACATGGCCGAGTCCTTCGGCGCTACGTCGAGAAGAAAAAATCCACTCTATGTGATCCCTACTGTTAGGAATCCTCTGCCTGTATTAGAAAGTTGAATCGAATCATGCGTTACTATAGTGATCTTCCAAGAAGGGTTCGGTTAGATGAGAAAGATTAATAATTGAATCGAATAATGTATTACTTCACTTTAGTAACAACTATTATTCCAAAATCGGCCAGGCCAGACCAGGCATGGTCCGATCTTAAGAGGGTCAGACTTAATTTAGTTCGTTGTTGTGAGAGATTTGAATTAAATTTTCGGACTGTATTTATTTTTTTGTCAATTCTCAACACAATATACTATTAAATAAAATGGAAAGCATAGTATTCCACATATTTATTTTTTCCTAATCAATTTATAGAACAATATTTCAATAAATAAATATGATAAAATTTAGCAGTTCTAAATATGCATACAAGCCTATTGCAAATACATTTTAACACCTAAAATATTGTTGTAATAAGGAGAAATACCAGTTATATATGGAGTAAGTTTGACCCCAAGATTACAAGTTAGGGCTGAAAATTTAAAAGCAAATATTAAGCTATATATTTGTCTAAATTATTATATGTATACAAAATAATATTCCCTACGTCCCAAAAATATGGTCTTATTTGGACCGGACACGGAATTTAAAAAATATTAATATTATATTGATAGTTAGTAAAAAGTACGAAGAAAATACTTTTTTGCACTTGTGAGTGTATTAGTGTAAAAATTAGTGATATTTGTATAATAATAATGAAAAGGTAAGGATAATTTTATGGTGATACGAGTATTTATAGAAATAAGACTATTGTTTTGGGACGGAAAGAGTAATTTTCAAGAAAAAACCAAATTTTGTATTAAATATATATATAAAAAAATAAATAAATAAAGATTAAAGATTACTTCTTTTAACAAAACTAGTCGTCGGCCCTAATGCAGTGAGGCCCGCCCACGGCCACGGCCCACTTTAGATGTAGGGCCTTCTAATATGATCAAATTAATTAATAATTTTATATAAGAGAATGTTTTATTATTATTTTTTAAGTTTGATTATTATATTTTTTTTGATTGAACAATTATTTGAATGGTATTCTTTCCGCATCTCATCTATCATGTCACAATGTTTTGTTTTTATTTTTCACATATTTGATTTTACTTTCTTTTTTAAAAATAAAAACAAATAAATTATATATTTTTATTATATTTTTGTTGATGTATTTTTTCAACAAAAATAAAGTAAAATTCAAAGACATAGAAAATATCCTTAAACTTGATTAATTAGTGCCTGAGATTAGGAATCTCTAAACACTGTACGGTACAGAAAATAAAACTGGAAAATAAAAGACTGAAATTTAAAGTGGTGATCCCCAAATCTGACTTTGCTTTGTTGAAGTTGATTGAAGATACCTCGCCAAACGATGATTCAAATCCTTAAATATTCCCTGGGAAACCGTACTGAAAACCGTCACCCGAACGGTTACAACGTCTCCTTCTCAACCGTCTTCCAACCTTTCTCATGCTGACACGTGTCCCCAGCAGACAAAAATTCCCTATATTTCGCTCCTTGAGCCGACCACAAACCTTCCGCTCTTTTGGCCCGACTTCGTCCTTCGTCCGACCTACTTCTTCGCCCGACCCCACTTGGGCCGACCTCCATATCAACCGCCCCATGTCTTTGATCAAAGGCCTCCGCGTTTGTCCGACTCCGCCTTCTATCCGACCTACAGTTTACCCGACCTGCGGATATTCTATCTCGACAACTTTTCCGTCTCGAAGACCTCCCGACTTGAAAACCTTCCGATTCATCGTCTTTCCGTCTTGCGGACCTCCCGACCTGAAGACCTTCCGACTTGAGGTCTTTCCGTCTTGCGGACCTCCCGACCTGAAGACTTTCCGACTTGAGGTCTCTCCGTCTTGCGGACCTCCCGACCGGAAGACCTTCCGACTTGAGGTCTTTCCGTCTTACGGATCTCCCGACCTGAAGACCGTCCGACTTGAGGTCTTTCATCTTGAGGACCTCCCGACCTGAGGTCCTTCCGTCCTGAGGACCTACCAACCTGAGAACCTTCCGTCCTGAGGACCTACCGACCTAAAAACCCTCCGTCCTGAATTTTCCTTAGAAATAAATAAATAAATTTATTTTCCTTGATTTCCTCACGGTGTCCTTCAGCCAGTTCAATCAACCCTATTGCCAGGCCCATTCCTCGTTTTACCTTGGGCTTTTAACCTAATTCTAAATTTCGTACGTAACAACTTGCCCGCCGCCAAGGGACTTTCAAACGCCAATAAATGTTTGGAAGTTCATAAAGCACTACCTTCTTGAAAAACTCCCTTAGCAACTACACCAGTTACTACAACACTCCTGGTTTATTCCTTCTTCGCAATACAAGCCTGTGTGAATCACAATCCCAAAACATTCTAACTATGGCGAATCAATACATTCCTGCCCTTCCTTTCGACGGAACCCTTCCAGAAGGTCCATTTTCAGCCTCGAAAGTACTAACTCCGACGATCCGTCCATATTGCACTACTCCTGAAGATTTAAATCGGATGAGGGAAGTTTTAGAATCTCGCAACTCCTTGGCTATCAACAATCCCAACTACCAAGCAGTTCGCATCCGAGACAGCATCAAAACCCATCTCACAGACCCGAAAGATCTGTATCGTGCTTGGTATCGACGAGTAGCAGAACACTTCCAGACTCAATGGCGATCCCAAAAGATCGACCAAGCAATACTACTGTCCACCATGCCTATCAACCTGCATGAGAAAGTGCTGTTGGCCATGGCTGCCTTCTGGAATGCGGAAAATGGGACTTTCCTTTTGCCATCGGGCCCCGTTGGCCCAACTCTTATGGACGCGGCCATGATCGCACATCTCCCAGTCGTGGGTGAAGACCCTGTAATGGGAGCCCTAGATGGACAGGAGCCATCAGAAGACCATCCGGGATGGTCTTTACAAGGTGTGAAGGAATGGGGTTGGACAAAGTTCGCAACCGACCAGCAAGGGGCTCCAGGGACTCCTGTAACCGACCGGGAGCATACTGCCTTTATTCTGTTCTGGCTTTGTAGGTACATCATTGTTTCTCCTTCCAAAAGTGTTCTTCCTTCTCACCTCGACCTGGCCATTCATATCGCGTCAGGTCGGTTCTTCTCCCTTGGCACTCTATTTTTAGCTAATCTGTTTGAAGGACTCACCAGGGTTAGCCTTCGTTTAACAGATAACGATAATAGGAAATTAGACACTGCCGCGTCGGGTCCTTTTTGGTTTTTAGAACTTTGGTTCCGTCTTTACTTCTCCAACGCGTTTAACTTAGGATCTCCGCCCACTATGCCAACATCTGAAAAACATTTAGGATTAGTCCTCAACCGACTCTGCTCAGGACGCAATAAACTCCAATCGTCCGATCCAATAATAACTGCCATTTTAACAGATACCCGCAGTAACTCTCGATTTTCTATGTATAAAAAGTATGCGGGTTATGCTCCCGACCATTTTTGGCCCTTTCCAGTACCAAACCCGCTTCCGACTCCTGAGCCTTGTCCTCATCCCACCTATCCTTTTGCCTGGGACGTTGCCCTCAAACCCAGGTCTCTTTTTAGTAGCAAGAAACTTGATAAAAAAGGGCAGAAAACTTTTTACACCTTTAACTATGAACCTCAATTCATGGCGCGCCAGTTCGGCTGTTGCCAAGGTATCCCTGGACCCGTCGCGTGTCCCCAAATAATTTTTCAAAGTCCCGACCGACGAGTCCTTCCTAATTCAATCCCTTCTTATATTTCCCAGCTCACCACGTATATAATTTCCAATTCTTATATTCCTTTCCGCTCCAACCCTGAGATTGTAGATACTTTCAATGAATGGTGGTCGGTTGTATGGTCCCTGATATCCCCTGATGAGGATCGGTTGCTGAACGTACTCCTCCCCCCCCAAGGACTGGTTCTAGGGGCGGCGATACATACTAGCACCCAAAAACAAACAACCGCCCCGGGAATCGGATCTGGGGGTCCCACGCGCAAAAGAAAAACTTCCCAGCTGCAAACACCCCCGACCTCGGAGACCGACCAGCAAACACTAGCAGACCTTGGAATAACTAGGACGTCAGCAAGGACCCGACCCCGAATTGGTAATGTTTCTTAACACCGTGAACCAATTCACTATATCATAACTTTGATTTTACTCATTTCATTCCCCAGAACCGACCTTGGTGACACCGACCATGCAACCAACGCCAGTACCAACCGACCATTCAATCGGGCCTTTGGTCCAGACCAATTTGCCAATGAGCAGTCGGGCGGAGGACCCGACGCGGAGGCAAACCCCTCCTCCCGTACCGAGGAGTGGTCGGGCCAGGCCCCCGACCAGGAGACAATCTTTACCAACAGTGCCTATAGAACCAGTAAGTTCCTTTATCAGCAAGACTTAGGATTCGGATGATCAACCTTAATATATTTAACAACAAACATCTTCATGATTTTTCCACAGACACCTTCACCCATCCCATCAGCAGCAGGGGTCTCTTCTGACAGCGAGGGGACTACTTCCCAGATGGGTCGGCCGCCATACATGGCATCAGACTCATCTATGTCAAAGGAAGAACCAGCCGCCCTCGCCGAAGCCGACCCGCAAAACGACATCCCTGATGCTGCTGATCCCGAAATCGAAGGTGCCCCAGAGATCCTGGCTGCAGTGGCTCTAGATGTAGCCATCCAACCTGCAGCCGCCCTACCAGCAGCGGCGCCCCCCCTAGCCATCGAATGGCAGGCAGAAGAACCACCTGTGGCAGCCCAACCTCCAGAAATGGAAGAAATGTCTTCATCCGATTCGGAGACTTCTGTTAATTTGGTAAGATTAAACCAATCCATGTCATAACTTTTCTTTCGAAAAACACTAACTGTTTCCAATACTACTTTCCATAGGGACCCAGGTCGGCACCTCAGCGACCATTCGCAGCAGCCGACGAGTCGGCTGCTGTTATACCAGCTGTCTGCCCAGCTCGACCGACCTCATTGCTACCCCCCTCACTGACAGCAGTCCGCCCAGAGGTACCACATATCTTCTTCGAACAAATTTGCAACTCCCTTGGAATATTTATTGACATTGTAGGACTTGCAGGGGCCTTCGGACTTAGCTGTCCTATCGACTGTTCCGGTTCCAGCGGAGGCCCAGACTGTGTTCACTGAGGCCATTAACCGTCCCCTGTCCGAATTAAGGTCCGACTTATTGGACAAACTCATTCAG